TGAGGGGATTTTTGTGTGTGATTCTGACAGATTTCTGTCATTCACACATTTCTCCAATGGGATTTCCCTTTTTCCTTTTTCTTTTCCTTTTCTTTTCTTTTTCATCAACGGGTTTCTCTTGGGATGTAAAAGAGATGAGAAAATGAAAAGGGAAAAGAAATAGAATATAGATTTTGGTGATGAAAGCTTTTCGAGAAATTTTCGAAGACTTCATCGCTTCATCGCTACAAATTTTTGATCGTTTTTTTATCTTTGGCTTTTCAAAACAATTGCCCGAGATCTGTAAATCTGTAAATCTTTGTGCTCAAATCTGTAAACACACTCTTTCTGGTGCACTCAATTCTTTATCTAAAGATGATTCTTTATCCAATCTCTTGAACGAGCTTTGCCAAGACAAATTTTGGGTCGAACCTTGAACCTTGAATTCAAGGTCCATAAACCTTGAATACAGTTGTTAAAAAGGTTTACGGGGGTAGGCTAATTTCTGCCATTTTATTTGCGCAACAGCCTTTGAGCCTTTGAGCAACTGGGTCTTTTGCGAAAAGCACCATAACTTTCTTCTAAGTGGATCAATCTTTATGTTTTTGGTGTCATTTTGTAGATCTCAACAAGTGCGCAACAAAATGACATCAGAATCATAAAGATTGGCTGACTTAGAAGAAAATTATGATGAGTTGCGCAAAAGACCCAGTTGCTCAAATCGCCCTGTTGCGCAAATAGAATTGTGGAAAGTAGCCACCCCTAAAAAGTCAGTTTAGCGCGATTTTTCTCAGAATTTCTAGTGGCTTCTGGTGGTTCTTGTGGTGAATATTTTGAGCGGGCAAATTTTAGATATTTTTTCACTTTTTCCCAATTGGCTGGCTTTCTATCCATGGAATTTTTAAGTCCAAGGCTGCCACTGCCACTAGATCATCACCATGAAATTTTTGCCATGAGACTTGAAGACTTCGGTTCAATTGCATCTTTGTCTCTTCTCCGAATTCTTTTTTCATTCAACTTTCTCCATTTTGAGCAATTGTTGATGAAGAGTGCTTTGATAGATTTGTGAGAGAATTTGTTCCTGACTGGCCAATAAAACGGGTAATTGGGTGTTTTGTTGAGAGGCAAGGGTTGAGGGAACGGTGACAGCCGTCGCTAGGGTTCCGTCAGCTTCTAGAAGAGAGATATTTGAGGTTGAGTTGAAATTTGAAAGGATATATTGAATAATCACATTTTAGTTACCCCATTCTCTCTAATAGTAGTGCACCCTGAGCGTCGCCTAAATTGCTCGAAATCTCGAGAATGGTTTATCAGAACCTATCGATGTGGGGTCAGAAAATGTAGCTACCAAATTTAGAGAGATAAGGAACCAAATTTAGAGAGAAAAGGAACCAAACTTAAAGAGATAAGGAACCAATTTTGTAGAGATAAGCTGACAATGAGATCTAGTGAGGGATTAGAGTGTTGAGCTTCTGGGAAAAGCTTGGAAACGGTAAAGTAGTCATTAACTCGGCTCGACGGGGTGCACTAGTATTAGAGAAATACGGTATATTTCTAAAAAAGAATACTTTTAAAAATCTGTGCGTGGGATTTTGTTTTTCGTATGTTTTTGCAAGAAAGTCTGGAGAAAATGCAATCTTTTGCAACAAAAGAGAAACGAAAATAACTACAATTTTTCATTTGCCCGAGAAATTCAAATTTTCATGTTTATTATTGTTTGTTTTTTTTTCACTTGTTTGTTATTCCACAGATCGACATTCTCCATCTTTTTCTTCGCCTTCAACCCAAAACATCGCAATCATTCCGCCACTTCCAACCGGACGACCGCTGCTTATGCGCAGCAAGGTCGTCCGTGACTCGGTCGGTTCAAAAAAAAGTTTGGCTAAGGCTGTTACAAATTCGGGTTTTTTCTTGAGTTAAGGTGTTTTTTTTTATTTTCTTAACACCAAACCGAAATTCCCATTTTCCTTACGCCTAATTTTTGGTGAAAGTGGTTCAGTTTCATTTCACCGGTTCACAAAAACGGGGGTCCAATCCTGTTATATTTGCAACTTAACACATTCACGACAAAGTCATTTTTTGTTTTGCTGCTGTTTCAAGCTATCTATGTTAGCTGTAGACCTGAAAATTTGTAATCGAAGGCATTCTGGGATGGAGAATCTGAATTTCGTTATTACTTTTTGAGCGACTTTAATTTCCGAATCAATACGGTCATCACAAAACTCTCTAAAGCTTGGATAATATCCAAAAATAGAACAGTTTTCTTTAAAAAACTAATAACGGATTCGCATTCCCCATCCTCGAAAACCCCTGATTGCAAAATTTCAGCAAAATTTGTTTCAAAAAAGTGCTAAATCCACGTACGGTCGTGTGATCGCGATGTTGTTAAGAGCAACAACTCAGTTCAAGTCTTTAAATTTTGCACTGCATCGTTTAAACGTAATTTTATGGCATAAACCTTATCTCAAAGCTCTTAATCTAACTGATAGCTACCGTTGAAACACTTGCAGCCGTATAACAGGATTATACTCAAAAACGAAAGAAACCTGAACCGGTGGAGAGAAAAAAGGACCCGAGTTTGACCCTTTATTGAGCTCAAATTCGAAATCGACTACTGTAGCTTTTATAAACTTATTTATCTACCATATCTTGTAGTAAATAAGATACATAACTGCCGTAATACCTGTATTAGAGCCCTCAGTATTGTTGCGTAATCGATAGACCTTCCTATTGCAAGTATTACGGTTGGTTAGTACTACACTGCTCCACACAATTATACCCTACTTTATTAGCAAAATAAAACAATAAAAACAAGTGAAATAAACTTTAATAATCAATAGCAACTCCATTTTTGCAAATCAATTGAAACATTCGGTTATCTATGCTCAGATAAAGATTATCAATCAACTTCTGGTCGACATGCATGATCGCTGGTTTATCTATCATATCTGGTGCAATCATGATCGCTGGTGCATGCATGATCGTTGGTTTGGGCTCTTCAACGTTCCGATATGTCTTTTTCCTGTCGTAGATCTTGCGAACAATAGCCATTTTCCATTTTCTATCACATTCAAATCGGATCAAGAGAGAAGAGAAATCATTTTATGTAGAAATCCAAGCTTGAGTGACGCGGCTTTAGCGAATCGAAGCGATCTTGTATGAAAACATAATTTTTGTTGCGATTCCGACGGTTGCGATACGCCAAAAAGGTAGAATTCCACGTTGCAAAACAACCCAGTAGTCAGATCCATTCATCTTCTTGGAAACAAAGCATAACTTCAGCTGACCAGTGGATTTAATTACAGGCCAAACCATGACACCGCTTCCCTTAAAGTTGCGTCGAGAATATTGCAGCTTATTCCTACGTAAGTTATGCCAATACGAGCGATTCCGACGCCAAAAAGGTAGAATTCCATGTATCAAAAACCTGGTAGTCAAATGTATTCATCTTCTTGGAAACAAAGCATAACTTCAAGCCGACCAGTGGATTTAATTGCAACCCAAACCGCCTCTCTTACAGTTGTGTCGAGAATATTGAAGTTGGTCCTTACATAAATCATGCCAATCCATCGAGTCCATCATAACCAAATTTCTTTTCATCGGAAAAGACAATATTAAAAAATTCTCATGATCTAAAACTGTAAGTTTACTGTTTTTCAATCGAGTTTGTTTCTTTTCGCGAATTCGACCAGAGATTCTCGATGATGTCGTAGAGCTTTCCTCATTTTTCTCTATTTGCTCTTTGAAGTCGTATCGTTTCAGAAACGTTTAGGTTTATCGCCTTGATTTTGGTGCAAGTCGTCGTTGTCGTTGAAGTCGTTGAAGGTTGTTGGAGGTTGTTGAAGGTTGTTGAAGGTTGTTGAAGGTTGTTGAAGGTTGTTGAAGGTTGTTGAAGGTTGTTGAAGGTTGTTGAAGGTTGTTGAAGGTTGTTGAAGGTTGTTGAAGGTTGTTGAAGGTTGTTGAAGGTTGTTGAAGGTTGTTGAAGGTTGTTGAAGGTTGTTGAAGGTCGTTGAAGGTCGTTGAAGGTTGTTGAAGGTTGTTGAAGGTCGTTGAAGGTTGTTGAAGTCGTTAAAGGCTTCTCGGAGAATCCTTCGTTTGTCATACGCGGAAAGTAGTAAAGTTCGATCAGAATGAATTGCTGTTCCATTTCTGTTTAGATTCTTGACAAAAGAATTGATAATCCATGGATCACGAGTCAAATCTGGAGGAATTTAGCGATTCGATAAGCTTTAAGCCTTCTTTGTCACAATTTGTCCCTTCTCAAAATCGGTTTTCCTCGTGGCATTTCCTGGAAAAATACAAATTAGTCATAACTTTATAAAAAATGAAGCAGAAAGAAAGAAAAATAAGATTATAACGGGTAAAATAAAGTGATGGTATATGTGGAGCAGTGTATATTTCAAATCAAACCACCAAAACTCTTGTCGACTTTAAATTTTTGATTTCAAAAAGGCATGTGAATGGTCGTTTGGTGCAAAATGCATGAAGCATGGAAATGTAGTGAATTTCGTGATTGATGCTAACTTTAAAAGCTAAAAAAGGGGAGTGGGACAAATGCTACCCGTTTTTCGCGTTTTAAAAAAGCTCTAAAAGCTAATATTAACCAATTTCGATTCCAAAAGTTGTTTTTCTAGGTAATTTTAGGGCGTAGAATCGAAATTTTGGCATAACAGAGCGTGTGGAAGCGAACGGGCGGAGTTATACAAAGAGAAAAATCAACAATTTGACCTGGCCGTTTTGTCTTTCAAATTGGTTCCACAAGCTCTGATATGCCAAAATTTCGATTCTACGCCCTAAAATTACCTAGAAAAACAACTTTTGGAATAGAAATTGGTTAATATTAGCTTTTGGAGCTTTTTTAAAACGCGAAAAAAAGGTGCACTAATGGGCTAAGTGCGGAAAAAAAGGTGCGCAAATGTCCGGGTGCGAAAAAAGGTCGCATTTGTCTCACTCCCCTAAAAAAAGCTAAAAAAGCTAAAACTAAAACCTAAAACTAAAAATAAAACTAAAACTTTTTAAAGCTGGTTCACGAATGTAACGTTCAACTGGCGGCTTTTCGACACGCCGTTCAAGGGATTGGAACGGCTCAAGATGGGGCGAGTTTGCGCAGAGAGGTGAGATAAAGGAAAATAAAGTTTGGGCATAAATACCATAAATACTGTAATAGTACCCCGTCCCCATAATGACGGTGCAGAGTGTTGCGTAGTCTAGCTTTGAACGAGTTTTTCTCGACACTGGTTTATGCTACAATGCGCGCTTAGGTATCAAAAAATAGCCCTGAATTTCAGCTATTTTTTGATACCAAAGACGCATTTTTTGGAAGTACGGGTGCTTTGAAAAAAATGAGATACTAAAAACTAAAAAACTTTTGCGACTACGCGACTGTACGAGGGTGGGTGGGGTACTATTACAGTATTTACGGTATCAAAAACATATCCAAATCCATAATATCTTTCAAAAATCCCCTATAAAAATGACCTTTTCCAAGCAAAAATCATAAAATGACACAAAATTTTCGTATTTCTTTGATTCAAATTTCAAGCCATTTCTTTTTTCAAGCATACAACCACCGATTTCAATGACCTTTTTGAAATGTCAGTGATTCATTTTTTCATTTGCAAAATAGTCCCCATTTTTACGATTTTTACAATTCTTTTTACATCTTTTATATTTTTGCGACTACGCGACTGTACGAGGGGGGTGGGGTACTATTACAGTATTTACGGTAGGAGTTTTACAGCTCAAACCTGACTGAGGCCAGGTCAGGCTTTAGCTGTAAAACTTACCAAACTATAAGACAATGAGCTAGATCTAAGAACTGGATCTGGTCGAGGCTTTGACTGGACCTGACTGTGCTGATCCTAGTGCTGGTAGGGTCAGGCCAAAGCTGATCTACAAAAAGTAGTTGATTATTAGGTTGTCTAAGTCTTGACCCCGCTCAGCTAAATTTAGAAATTTTGTTTACGTTTAGTGCGCCCTGTTTTTCTTCAAAATATTGGCTTATCAGTCTTATTAGTTAGCAGCGATCAGTCTTGTCAGCTTATCAGCTTCAATCTTCTCAGCCTATCAGCTATCAGTCTTATCAACCTACCAGCTATCAGCTACCAGTCTTATCAACCTAATATAAGACAGCGTTCTAGGCCTGGCCTTCTGGCCTAACTAACTGATTTTGATTTAGTTTTTAAAAAGCAGCCGCGTAGCAATCTAAAGCACAAAGCAGGTACGGTAGCATTTCTAAAGTGCACTTTTTAGGAAGCTCTTCAATCAAAGCCAGACTTGAATCTGGCTTCAGTTCTAGCCTGGCTTCCTGACTTGTCTAAGTCTAGCTTTTAAAAGTACGGGAATACGGTAACATTTCTCATTCGACAATTCCAGGTGGAAACAGCTGGTCGAGCCTGTTATCGAGCGTGCGAGGCCGCAAAAAACTGTGTTCTCCCTCAACTTCGGCATGAAGGTAAGCGTTGATAAGGCTAATGCATTGATAGTACGTTAAAAAGGAATTATTTATTTTAAATTCATATTATCTACAGATACCCAAGAGGTACTAGGTTTGGCTTGGAGCTTATAGGCCGGACCAGGTTGAGTCAGAGGTAATCTTGGTCGGGTCAGAGCCGGACCAGGTTGGGTCAGAGCCAGGCCAGGTGATCGGGTCAGAGCTAGGCTAGGTCGGGTCAGAGCTAGGTTAGGTCGAGTCAGAGCTAGGCTAGGTCGAGTCAGAGCTAGGCTAGGTCGGGTCAGAGCCAGCCCAGACGATCGGGTCAGAGCCTGGCCAGGTGAGCGGATCAGAGCCAGGCCAGGTGATCGGGCCAGAGCCTGGTCAAAAGCCAGGGTACAGGCTTCAGCCCTTGCTTGGGCTAACAACGCTGGCTTGATCTTGTGATTAAAGTTGACCAAACCGTTCTGCTTTTCAATTTTGTATCAAAACATTTCCAGGCGTAGAGTTTACGCGACACGCCTCTCAATTCATCGGTTGCGTAGCGGCGTTTGTCGTTGAAATGAAGCGATGTATGGCTCTAGAAACGGTGAGTTTAAAAAGCAAGAATATATTAGACAAAGATATTTCTATAGTTAGATCTGTAAACCAGTTTAGGACCTGGTTCTAGCCCTGGACTTTGGAACAATTCTGTTTCTATCGATTATTCAAATCTAGAGAATACACAGTACACTGAAGATAAAACGTATGGAAATTTAGACCTTCCCAGCTCCCGTTGAACCTTGTGTGACGAAGACACAAATCGAGGCGATGGAGAGTATGCTGGAGACGCTCGAGAATTTGATCACCGTGCATTTCTCGACGAATGAGGGATCACCCACTGACAAAGTAAGACGCAGATCAAGATCAAAAAGAAATTCGGCTCTAACTAGGGCTATTTCAGAAGAGATTTCCAGGTGTGAACCCAGATTCTGATCTAGAACAGATCCCATTTGTAAGTAGCCGAAGACGGTAGGGTTTTTCAAGGCGTAACTTTTAAGGACACCCAGACCAGAAGCCAGACATAACCCTAGACCGAGACTTTATTTTGGCCTAGCCTAGCTTACAGGCCTTGACTTAACGATTGATGACTTAGCCTGATTGATTGACCTGCTAAAATCACAGGCCAAAGCCAAAGCCAAAGGCCAAAGCTACAGGCCAAAGCCAAAGACCAAAGCTAGGGGCCAAAGCCAAAGGCCAAAGCTACAGGCCAAAGCCAAAGACCAAAGCTACGGCCCAAAGCCAAAGGCCAAAGCTAGAGGCCAAAGCCAAAAGCCAAAGCCACAGGCCAAAACCACAGGCCAAAACCAAGACAAGACCATGACTTTGGCTTGGAAAAGCCTTTGTTTCAGCTCATTGCTCTTAAGTGAAACGAATCCTATAACTGAAAACCAGTTACGCTAAACGATTGATGCATTTCTCACAATCCCCATTCCCAGGTGACACCCCGTCGTCGTCGAGCCACCTCGTGTCGACCGCAATGCGTGTGCTCGAAGCTGAAAACCAGTTACGCCTAACGATCGGTGCAATTCTCTTTTCTTTTGTACAGTACCCATTGCTCATTTTTATTTCCCATTATTTTTGCTAAATTGTCTTCTACCAAATTCGCATTCCTCATTTTCTTATGTGCAATTCTCTTGATTATAAAACTTTCTAGTCTTGACGTTTTTCCTTAAATGCTTTAATTCTGATGACCCGTTTGGATGTAAAAATATAGGTATTGATAAATTTTTAAAGGTTTTTTTCTGAAAAAAGACACCGTAATCGAATTTAGATGCGTTTTAGAATCCAGAATTTCGTCGACATTTTATTTTCTTCACACTTTGAGCATTTAGAAAGAAATCAAGAATCAAGAATGACAACATCAAGAATGAATCGATTCGAAAGAAAGACAACAATGTCAAGTTGTTAAAAAATCGAATCGATTAGATCTTATGGTCAATGTTCTGGCAAAGGGCAAAAAATGAAAATTGTGCGACATTTGATAAGCCCCGCCCATTTTCCCATTAGCAACCTAACTTTGAGCTCAAATTTCTTGGTGTTAGGCTGTCCAATTAAAACATTTTTAGTATCATTGGATACGCCAAGTCTTTCTCTGTCGATTGGTACAAAAATTATTTCAATTGCACAGCCGAACACCAAGAAATTTGAGCTCAAAGTCAGATTCCCTATGGCAAAGGGGGCGGGGCGCGTATAAAAGGTTATCGGTCATCTGATAAGCCCCGCCCTTTGCCGGCTACGACATCTCCAGGAGCCTCCTCTATCGTTCAACATCGCCAAAATCCGAGCTTTGTCATGGTTTAGGCGGGAATTTGCGCAACGGACAAAGCTCCCTTGGTTTTCATTGATCCCGGCGTGAAAATGAACCAGGATGTTTATCGAAAGGAAATTTTTGAAGATGTGCTTTTTCCCTGGACCCAGCAGCACTTTGGCAACCAAGTTTCGACGTTCCAACATGACTCCGCGCCCTCCCATCGAGATAAATCCGTTCAGGACTGGTGCAGGGCCAATTTGCCTGATTTCATTTCGGCTCAGGAATGGTATCCACACTCTTGTGATCTCAATCCGTTGGACTACAGTGCGTGGTCGATCTTGGAGGCAAGCGCCTGTGCTAATCCCCACAAAAGTTTGAAGGCATTGAACTCGCTGGACTCGGGATGAACTCGAGAATGGGACAAGGTTACGATGGCAGAGCTGAGGCCCATAGCCGAAAACTTGATTAAGGGTCTCAAGCTCTGCGTTAAAGCTGAAGGGGCCACTTCGAAAATGAATCTTTTTTAAGTTATTTATAGCTTAAATGTTGTTAAAAATAATGTTCTTATGAATCTATTGTTTACGTGGTTTTCATTTGCTCAAAAATCAAATATTCCGTTAATTCTTGCCACCCTGTATATTTGAGAGTATTTAACTAGATATTGCAGTTATTGAACATTCCTTTCTTCTTCACTACCTGCATGGACATCCCCATTTCCACGAAAGACATTTTCGAGTTTGAACTTTCTTTCCGTTTAATCCACAACTCTCCGTGCAACTCGAGTAATCCTTCCAATCGGACCACTGACCTCAAATTTAAACCAATGATGCCGCGTCACCTTTTATGCTATATTAATATCAATAACTAGTAATTCATCTTCTTATTCTTATTATCATTCAAATATTTACCTCTTGTCGGACATTTTGTGCATGCAGGCAGCGTCGCAAGAACAGTGGATGCTAAACCGAGTTGATTATCTAATAGTATCAGTGTTGATCACTTGTAAAACGTCGATAAAATAGACGATTTCAGAGCGCTCTTCTATTAGAGTTCACTCTTCTAATAGAGAAAACACGAAAAACTCACTAAATAACTCACCCGAAACACTGAGAGTAGTGAGAAGATTGAATAACATGAGTTCCCTTCCGGATTGAATGCCGAATGAACGGATGAATTCGAGACTCGGTCGTTCGCTTTTATACGGATAATTTTTCATTAAATCACATCAAATTCTGCTTCCGCAAAATTTGAACCCAAAATTTTCTTAATCGGTTTTTGTGAAAGGATTCCTTTTCTTTTTTGCATCACTTTTAGCCGATGATCGGAGATTGATTTCTGTTCGAATGTGTCAATATTGAAGTCACTGATTGAAAAAACTACACACTTTTGATCATGAATGGATTTTCGATCATTTGAAGGGAAATTTAGCCGCTTCCATTTTTTGAAAGTTCATTCTAGTCTTAAAAAACTCATAAAGTCGAAATTCAAAAGAATGGAACACGAGGAGCTTTCATTTGGTTATTAAACCGTGTCCGTTCATGTCAATGGCGAAATTCGAAGGCTTCAACGTGTTCACTAGCAGACAGTTCCTCGTTTTGCCTTTTCTCAAGCAAATATCCTACACATTACTGACGGTGTATTGCGTAGATCGAATTTTGTAATGTATTGGGTTGGGGAGAATGAGTCGGCGCCAAACTTTAAAGGGACTTTTTGCACACATAAAGCCTTCTTTAAACATACGTTTGGTTTCATCAAAAGGATCCACTATTTCTCTACAAAATGACTTTTGAGAGATTCCACAAAGCTTTTCTTTCGTGGAGTTTATGAACTTCGAAACGCAGCTGGTTAAAATGGCAAAGAGTCCGACTCATCATTTGAACAGTTTCTTTCACATAAACCTTCTTTGGTGTTTATATAAAAAAGATAGAGCACATTCAATTACTTAAGTTGCCAAATTTGCAGGAAGATCCCACCAATGGTTTTTTCTAGATCACAGTTTGTAGTTTTTGTGAAAAAATGGCTTTTTCTTGAGCGGAGGCGCTGTTTGAATTTTCTTTTAAATGTCATTTTGTAGAGAATTAGTTAACCATTCTACTCATATCGAACGCATATTATTTGACGAAGTCGAATAGAAGTTTTAGACATTTTTTTCATTTTCGGCGCCGACTCATTCTCCCCAACCCAATAGATGTTAAATTTTTAAGATGAAATTAGCGCCGCTCCTCTCCATACAAATTTCACCTCATAGAAGACTCCGAAATTTGATTTTAATAAGCGACTTGCTTCATTATTCTGTAGATTTTCTGACCCTCAAATATGTCACATATTAGTGGAAGTAACACCTTTTTTGTCGAATCGGTCCCACCCCGATCCCAGATCTTTTAAAATTATTTCACTTTTAAACGTGTTTTTCGTACGTTTTAAACCAAGTTTGCTATCCGTTATAATAATTTTCAACGATTTTTAAAATTTTGATTTATGTGGGGACCATTATCTACTTTTTGGTCATCCGATTTTGGGGGGATTGAAAAATGGAAGCGCCGGTGCTTCTATTAGGAAAATTACGGTATATTTCACTTTCGTTTCTGGTTCATGAAAAAGCGTTCAAGTTGCTTTCAATGGTTCACAACGGATTGTGAGGAGAAGAGATCAGCATTTTGTTCATCGCTGGGTAAAATAGAAAAAAAAATCATATTGTATGAGTTTGACATAAAAAATTTCTTATGTCCCTATGGATGGGTTCGTTATTCGTTTTGTTGTTGTACACTCATCCAGCGATGAAGAAAATTTCGCGCCATTTTGTCTCTTTTCTGGCTTATTCATGAAAAAGAGTCCAAGTTGTTTAGAGCATTTGAAAATTCTCTCCACTCAAACTCGGCGGTTTCACAAGCCGCCATTCAATTATAGAGTATCTTTTCTTATAAAGTTTTCAATTATAAAGTATCTTTTTTGATTTTAAGATCCAAAAAATATCATTTTTTGAAACACCTCAAAGCGAGCTCTCTGAACTTGACTATAAAAAATAGCTATCAAAGTTTTTTTACTGACAGTATTTGTGAGTATAAACGAAATCTCGTAGAGTCCTTAAAAATCATAAAATTTCAGCCTGAATGCCTCTTGCTTGTCGGCCATTGAAAGAAGTTCGCAAACGGGAAGCAGAGGAGGGAAAGCTAAAGGAAACAATCGACGAATGTTTCCCATTTCGTCTCGAGGAGCTGCCGACTGAGATCCAGATGAGAATCGTCGATGAAATGGCACCGGTGGATGCGATGAGAATGCGCGGAGTGAATCGGAAATTCTATCGGTTGCTGTCGAGTGAACCGTGGAAACGATGAGTGCTTCTCGGTTGCGGGATGAATTGCACTCCATGAAATGATATGCGTGAATCGTGAAGAGTTCTTTCGCTTGTTTGTCCAGCGAAGGCAAGGGAACAGTGATCGAAGCATTTGGATGGCTGCTGGGGAATCCATTGTTGAGAGTACGTAAAGTGACTGATCGAATTTGCTCGTCATTTGCAAGAATGACCATCGATTTGATTTGTGTCTTCTTAAAGGCTTGATGATAGAAGAGAAAGAGTTCATTCGAGAAGTCAGCCAGCACAATTTCCTCGCAATCCTTCTATTAGACACAATGAATCTCTTGAGTGCCGTTTTGACACAGATTCACACCAAATGAATTGATTTGGCAGACGAGCGCCATACACTTTTTGATTGTCAAATGAAAGTCCAAAAGACACAAAAATGAATTATTTTTGAACATGTTAACAAATAGCTAGATTTGATTTACACATTCACGCGTGATATTTCTAATACAATTCAACTTCAAATGATTTTTTCTGACATGTATATCAAATAACTCGCTTTTTCTGAATCAAGTATCAATCAACAATTTGCGAGTTTATAAAGATAATCAAAACTAGTTAGAAGTTTATTTATAACAACTAGATAACTTTAACAACAATACCAACAACAAACCAATAAAAAAAGGCTTTTATTCGCTTGGCACGCACTTGATGAAGAGACCGGTGTCAAAGCCGTCATAGACGTCATAGTCATAGTCTTCAACACCATCTTCGATCTGATACCGTGGTTCCGCAACGACAAAAATACAATCCCTCTTCGAATCGATTCGATAACGGAAATATGAACTTTTCTCAAAAACAAATCCCTTCCAAAAGGGATGAAAACATTCGTTAGCCATCTGAATGAGTTGAAGGCGTGCGTCCCCTTCAACACGTTGCATTCCATCATGTTCATAAAGGAAACGTTCAATTTGGCGAGGTGAGAACGAAGTGTCCCATTCAATAAAGCAAACAGCCTCCGGATCCCTGCTTGGAAGCCCGCGATCGATGACCCATGGAACGAAGTATGGATCGGCAGTGCTTCGCTTTCGATTCCAAATTTGGAGTTTTTTGACACGGGTCTTTGAGAGAGTGTCGTAAAAGAAACGACATTGATCTTCCGAGAAGCATCGGAACGAAAGCATCTCGCAAGCATTGCATTGATTCACAATGAAGTTCTCAAGAGATTCCTTCACTGAGCGTTCATTAACAACCAAATCCAGAATGATGTCTTCTTTGACGAGTGCATTGAAATTAGCGAGAAAGTTCATCAAACGCCTATTATCATCAACAGTGAGCGACACTCGATCCACCGATTCCAATTGATTCAATACGTGAAATATCTTATCTACGGAGAAAGATCTTTCAAACTCATATAAATCCAGGGAGTGACATGAGCGCACCCGTTTGATGAGATTAAAATCGCGTTCCACCTCAAGCTCGACTCCTCCCGAACCGAATTTCTCGATAAGAACACCTTGCTGGCAAAATCGATTATAGGAAATCCGATGCACTCGCGATCCGAAGACCCTCCAGGGGTCCCTCATGAGAATCGATCGGAATTCCTCGTTGACCTTCACCAACTCGATCACATTCCATGCATCCATTTCCTTGATTACTTCTAGCTTCAGATCATAGCAGAGTCTCTCCATCGGAAATCCCGTCAACTTGTTCATCTCAAATGGCATCTTGTTATTTGAAGACAAGTTATTTTGATTTCTTTTCTTCGCCTCTCCATCACTCTTTTTCACATCCACAGAATCGGCCATTCTTCTGCCTCAAATAAAAAAAATCATGTTTGATAGTGATAAACATCCAAAGTTTACTTGTGGAGTTTACTAATCCGTTTTTGTCAAAAGTTTTCGAGAATATTCTGGGGTTTTCATCCACTATTGATTTACAAGTAATCGCTTCCAACAAAACAATTTATTTAGCAGAAAAATAATAAAACAACGGATTAGACAACAATGGGAAACAATAGGCAATGACAACAGAATTACCAACAACAACAAAAGAATTTTTCATTTAAAGAAGTTATGCAGAAATTCATTGGTGAAACCATCTTTTTGTCGCGAACTGCATGTTTTTGAAGGACATCAGTAAATTAAAAGTCAATAGGAAGAGGAAAATCATAAACTTTTCAAAAATCTCCAAAATTTTAAGGGAAAGCTGCACTCATTTTTTACGAGTAATTTCTTGGAGTCGACTTGTAAATAATAGAACAAAATGTTCTTGAATTGGTGGATTCGTTTTTAAGAAATTCCAGTCAAACTTTTTCCGAGAACTTTCTTTCCAACCTAATAGCATCCGGCTATCGTTTTGGAAATTGTTCTTGACGATGCAACAGTTGGAGGGCAACACGGTGAGCAGAAGTTCCTTGGACAATCTCCTAAAAATGAAATTCAAAAAGAAAACCATAAAAGTTACCTCTAAACCCATATCTCTAAACGACCAAGTTGTTGATCACACGCTGATAGAGGTTCCACCGATAGGTGGGAGCGACGAGGCCTTTGCCGACTCTTTGACCGATGTTGTTACTGCGATATGCATAAAAATCTAAAGTTGATTCATTTTAAAAGTATTTAATCCACATGCCGTGTAATTTTCGATTAAGGTCCGTCGCAATGCTTTGACGTTGATAGTTACTCGTTGACTTGGCGGTAAATTACCGACATGGCGGCCAAGCGCTTCTTTTACGGTTGCATCACTTTTCCGGCTTTGTATCATATTAGCTTTAACTTAGCGTGCCTATAAGACTATTTGCTTTACTAAACTCGCTTAAACAAACTTGCTCGGCATATTCCTTTGGAGTGTGGTTTTGCTCGTTATGATTTGACATTACAGCATTCAACATTTTGATAAATGACATGTACCGGTGTGCTGTGAGCATTGTCGATACGAATTTCATGAAAAATTTTAGCGACTTGTTGCCTAAAATAAGTTGTGCTTCATAAGTAAACTTCAACTTACGTATATTTTCGCATGTAGCCCCATAAGGGCTATCCTCGAGACAATTGCCGTAATTTAGCTTCACCGAATCACCCCAGTAAACCAAAAATCCGCTGATATACACCTATATTTCATTAGGTTATCCGTGAAAAGTTTAAAAATACCTCCGAGTCTGCGAGAGCAAAATTCTTTTTGGGTCAAGACCCATCACCCAATCATTAAATGTCATCAATTTCTCAGCAGTTTTCGGATCAAATGCAAACGCTTTGTCCGTTTCCCATGATGATTCTTCAAATGTGTTCAAAGTGGCTGATTAAACACTTACTCGCATAGCATACACTTACTCTTCACGCACCACACTTTTTCGTGGACCATGGCCTTCCACCTAAAAATCATTATTGCCAATCAGTGCTGTACTTTAAAACCTACTCTTTCGTAAGATATCTGTCCAAGAATGGCTTTCAACCCAGTCATCAAAATATCCCAGGATTTTTCGCTCTTTCATATCAATAAAACTACTTTGCAATTGTACGCACATTCTGGGTGTTCCTAAATAAAATTAAAAACATGTGGAAAAAGAGACAAAGTTCCACCTGAGGCCACCAGGCATTTTTAGCTGCGTGATTCCAAACAACATCTCGAACTGTGGCTATATTCCATTGACTCCTTCTCGTTGTGTGTTCGTTATCATTGATTCTCGAGTTATGCCTGAGCCTAAACAAAGAAAGGTGTTAACTGTAAACATATTGTAGAGGAATAAGTAAAAAAAACTCGCTCTTTGAAACTATTTATCATAAAATTAATGAATTTCCACATTTTCATCAAAAAAGCTATGGCGCTGAGCTAATTCGGTCGTTTGGTGCTCTAGGTGCAGTAAGTTTTAAAAACTGTGTGCGCAAAAAATATTTGTGCAAATGTCGTTGCATAAATGGCTTGTGCGCAAAAGACGTTTCTGTTTCTTCTACAGTAACCAAAACCAAAAATAGACTTTAATTCGTTTTAAGGAAAAGTGCAACAGAAACATAGTAGAAACATTTAAATCAGAAACATAGGTCAACCAAATTTTCTTTTTCAAAAACCGAGCCTAAATTCAGGATCTGCGCTACTTGTTTGCTAAATATGCAAATTTTCATAAAAATAGCTAATCTGAACCGTGCTCGTCCCTGATGGAAGTTTTGTAAAAAAAGCGCTCGTCGTGAATGTGTTAAGACATGTGGATTTTGGGTTGTGTTTGCATTTGAAAATGAATTAAAGTTTATTTTTGGTTTTGGGTTACGGTAGAAGAGAGTCATTTAAAGGCAACGGCACCCCAAAACAGGCAGACACAATCCGACGCTGCCAAATCCCGAACAGCACGCATTGCAACTCGCAACCTAAAATGGTTTTCGTGATTTTTACTCGAAATTTACACAAATCTGTCCACGAAACAGCATAGGAATTCATTATATCACTTTGATTAATCAATTGATAAGAAGATTTGAATTTATGTATACCGTGCAGTTGCCTTCACAAACGAGAAGATTGTTGGGTTGGGGAGCTTCATCAGAAGAGGGGGAGTTCGGAAGGATCGCTTGACAGACGACTAAAGTCTCTCATCAAGTTGTATGAGGAGAAATTTTGAGTTAATAATAAAATAGAACTTTAAATATTAGGCTAAAATTAGAAAAGGCCTTTTAAAAACGTTTCTAACTTTCTACTTTAAAGCTTTCTTTCAAACACTCTATTATTTTTCCCTGCTGGCGGAAGGATGGCACTGAATTTTACAAAAAAAAAGAGCAAAACTCACCAAAAACGGTGGCGATGAGGAGAACGAGTGAGAGGAGACGGGACATCGTGCTTGAGGGAAGGGGAAGGGAAGCGGAAAAGAAGAGGTGAGTTGGGATGATTGGATGTGACTTTCGGATCACTCTTTTATACGCGAAAGATGCGTGATTTGGGAGTGCATGGGGGCAGAAACTGGGTATCGTGACGATCTCGTGATCGAGATCGCCACGGATGGAAATGGCCAGCCAGACACCTTTTTGCGCGAACGCCTATTGTGCGAGGTTTAATATGCGTCGCTATCCGTTCAATTCCATTGTGTGCAAGACGAGACCAACGCCAAAGTTCTCCCCCAAAGGTTTTTCTCCAGGCCCTACCCATTGCTTGTGTCTCCGATAGTTGACATACAGTGATAGTGACATTGATAGTGATAGTGACATTTTTGTGATTTCAATGGATTTATGCACTTTTAGAAAAGTTCGAAAGGTAACCGTATGCAGTAGAAAACTGCCGAAAATTTTGTTTTAGAAAAAGAAGTCAGCGATGAGTGTCGTATATTAAACGTCGCACAATATTTTTTGCGCACACAGTTTTTAAAACTTATTGCACCTAGAGCACGAAACGACCGAATTAGCTCAGCCCCATAGCTTTTTTTGATGAAAATGTGGAAATTCGTTAGTTTTATGATAAATATCCCCAAAGAGTGTGTTTTTTTACTTATTCCTCTACAATATGCTCACAGTTAACACCTTTCTTTGTTTAGGTTCGGGCATAACTCGAGAATCAATGATAACGAGCACACAACGAGAAGGAGTCAATGGAATATAGCCACAGTTCGAGATGTTGTTTGGAATCATGCAGCTAAAAATTCCTCGTGGCCTCAGGTGGAATTTTGTCTCTTTTTCCACATGTTTTTAATTTTATTTAGGAACACCCAGAATGTGCGTACAATTGCTTGAATGGTTCCTACCGTATTTCCTCTAATAAACGCCCCCCCCCCCTGACCAACTTTGGACGCTTCGTTCTCAGCCCCATTTTGAGATATTTTTATGTTTAATATATCAAAAGATAGCCCTTAATGTCTTCTATCTTTTGATATATTAAACATAAAAATATCTCGAAATGGAGCTGAGAACGAAGCGTCCAAAGTTGGTCAAGGGGGGGCGTTTATTAGAGGAAATACGGTATTTACGACCGGTTTACGTTCTAAATAGAATTTTGCTTTTTTTTTCGGTAAAGAGGTGTGTTATTTACGAAAATTAAAATTATTTGAAAATCTAAATGGGAACTGTTTTCGATCTATGATTTGATGAAATATTTCGAGTCTCAACCACTCGAGCGCTTTAATGCCAACAAAGAGCCCATTTTAATGTCTAGAATTTTAAAAAATCTTACCTTTTAAGAAAAATATTTAAGAAATAAGAAAATAGGGACTATGACACTTGCGCCGCCGTGTTAAAAACGAAACTTGCGCCGCACAAAAAAAACGAATTTTTGGGCCGTGCAATCATTTTCGTTTTGCCAATAGATTTTTCCACTTTTGTTGCCGGATTTTTATACAGTCAGCAAAAAAGTCTTGCACCATTGTCACCCAAAGGCTTAAAACAAAAAATGTTTCACAAAAATAAGCGTTTCATTTGTTGTTGGCAACTAATTCTACCATTGTGGTCTAGTTTCCGAATGAACAAGTGAAAAATTTATTCGTAACAGTAAAATAGAAAAAATAACAAAAGAGTAAACGACCAACAAAAAAGGAAGCAAAAAAAAGTCTTGCACCATCAAACAAATTCAATAAGTTTAATACTTTGTAGCAGCTCCTTTTGCTTGAATGATCTTTTGTAGTCTTCTGGGCATCGACGAGAGCAATTTGTGCAACACATGTTGAGAGGTCGTCTTCCATGCTTGTTCCACATGGCCCCATAGTTCAGCCTTGTTTCGAAATTTTTGTCCTTTGAGTTTCCGTTTAACAATCGACCACAAATGTTCAATCGGGTTGATGTCGGGGCTGAAAGGTGGTGTTCGAAGCTATTCCAGTCCATGTTGATGAAACCAGCCGGGCACCCTCACAAAAACCCCCTTCGAATCTTCAAACGACGTCCCATCATAAGCTGACTTGTGTGCTTCGGGCCTCCATCTTGCATGAATAACCACCCCTGTCCCATTTTCGCTTGTGCATGAGGTAGCATATGTGTCTCCAATATGTCCTTGCACTTGTGAGCATCCATAATTCCGTCTAATGAACCAAATGTAACGTGTTTGCACTTGTCCCGCGCAATGTTAAGTTTCCAAAATTTACTCCACAGAAGGATCGAATCAAGATCCTTCTGGAGAAGAGTAAAATCAGGGATGGGGCTCTGGGACGGAAGTACCCTGTAAATTTTAAGGTCATCGGCGTAAAGTCGGACTTTTGTGCCTAGGGAGATCGAACTGTTAATGCCATTAATATAAATAAGGAAAAGAAGAGGACCAAGAACGCTCCCTTGGAGCACTCCGCTACTAATGGGGAAGTCATTCGAAAAGCTAGAGCCTAAGCAGACGCGAAAAATCCTCTAAAATCTAAAAAACAATCTAAAAAACATTTACTAACCCCAAACCATGATTCCTCCACCATTGAATTTGACTGTAGAACGCATATACCTGAGTTTATAGCGTGTTCCAACAGGCCGACGAATCATTTGACCACCATCCGGGTTGAATATATTGATCTTCGTCTCGTCACTCCATAGTACCTTCTTCCAAACGTCGACCGTCCAATGTTTGTACGTCTTTGCGAAGGCCAATCTCAATCGCCGATGTCTCAAAACCATTAGAGGCTTTCGTGCTGGTCGTCGAGCAAATAATCGAACCGATTTGAGCCGGTTTCGAATTGTTTGAGCGGTTACTTCAAGCCCAAAGCAAGATTGAAGCAACTTGGCACCGTCGGTACTCGTCCTGTTTGGATCCTTTAAGAACATCCCGATCAATGAACGGTCCTGTCTGATTGTTGTTTTAGGTGGTCGACCACTTTTTGAATGTCGTTGCACATTTCCCTCTAGTTTTTGTCGTTTAGAAAGCCTGGAGACGGTAGAGCGATCAACGATCAAGAGGTCACAAATGGCCTTCACTTTCATCCCTCCTTGACGGGCTTTGACAATGTTTTCCTTAGTCGGAGTGTCCAGATATCGCTCGCAGGGCATCTAATAAAATAAATTAATGCACAAAAAACAAAGTCAGAAAACAAAAAGAAAAAGTCACTGATGGAGTGACAACAGAATACAACTATGGTGCAAGACTTTTTTTGCGCTCTAAACCGGGTGTCTCTAATAAAACTTATTTTTTACGTCAAAAGAAATAACTTGCAATAAAAATGAATAATATATTCGGAAACTAGACCACAATGGTAGAATTAGTTGCCAACAAGTTTTCTCTGAAACACTTATTTTTGCGAAAAATTTTTGTTTTAAGCCTTTGGGGGACAATGGTGCAAGACTTTTTTGCTGACTGTATATTCGGTAGCATAAAATAAAAACTTGTTAAAATGAGCTTTACTTGTCTAACTTGGTCTTTCTTTGTGATGCATTTACCTTTGGCAAAACGTTTAATCTTTATTTATAACAAAACAACCGATAACTAACTAATGAATCAAAATAACAGTTAAATTAAAATGATGATCAACAATAAGTCAAGTTAAATAGAAAAGTTATATTCAAAACGTAAAAAAAACAACTCAAATAGTCGGTGAAATGAATAATGCCAAGTTTGATAAATAATCAATATTAGTTACATGAAGATTACCTTTTAGCACTACATCAAACCGCCTACTTTGATAATTTGTTGTAGCTTTTGCGGATGATTTCACTGATAGTTTTTCCGAGCCTCTCAGCATCGTCGAGCTTTGATTTGAGAACCTTCTGCTGTTCGTACAAACGGGATGAAACAAGCTGAGCTGATGCTTTTCGCGAAACACTCTAACCTTTTTAACTAGAAAAATGATTAATCAACTAAAATCAAAGATAAAAATAAAATGGTTACTTGCACCGTGACTGCGTGGCGCAAGTTTCGTTTTCAACATGGCGGTGCAAAGGTCAAAGTCTCAGAAAATATCAAATAAGAAAATTATTTCTTTTAAAAAGCAAAGAATCCAAGTTAGAATCTGAATCGCAAAGAATTCATTTTTTCCCGATAACAAATGTGCACTGTTTTCTGATTCCGAGAGATTTCATCTTTTATATTTTTCACGCAAAAATTCATGATTTCCTTTTGAACAATCTATTTTTGACTTTTGAACAATCTAAATGACTCAACTATTCCACTCAAAAGATTGTACAAAAAAACAAAACGGAAACGGAAAACAAAACAAAACGAACACACGTGAGAGGTCACAGATGTTTTTCCTCGATTCCCCGTAAAGAGAGAAACTTTTTGTTTCTTTTCTTGAGATGTTCTCAAAAAAAGAGATGTGTCATGTGGAGAGAACTTTGAATTGATTCTTCTAAAAATCTTCTTCTGAGAGAAAATAGAAACCTCGCTTTTACGTTGTGCAATTCAATGACGTTGTTTTCACAAATTTCCGCGGTTAATTTGACTTTTTTTGAAAATGAAATACTAGGTTGTGTTCGTGTTCTCGACTCAGCTTAAGCTTCAAAATTTCCCACAATAAATATTCCATTTCGCATTCTTCAAGTATTTCTATAAAAGGTAACACAATAATTGTGTCACAATTGAAAAATTGCACAAGAAAATGGAAAAAAACACGTGAGACAGCTGTTTTTCTCGAGTTTCTCGAGAGAAACCTCTCTTCATTTCGTTTTCAAGAACGTTTCAGACAGGGAAATGTGATCGAAGAACTCGCTTGAACGGCTCAAAAAGTGATCCGATGGGGAAGGAGCTCGACGATGGATGACTCAAAAAGAGCCCCCAAAAGATGGTTATTTTTGTGAAAGAAAATAGTGTTTTTCGAGATAAACAACATCAACCCCACTTTCTGCCCATGCACTCCCAAATCACACATCTTTCGAGTATAAAAGAGTGATCCGAAAGTCACATCCAATCATCCCAACTCACCTCTTCTTTTCCGCTTCCCTTCCCCTTCCCTCAAGCACGATGTCCCGTCTCCTCTCGCTCGTTCTCCTCATCGCCACCGTTTTTGGTGAGTTTTGCTCTTTTTTTTTGTAAAATTCAGTGCCATCCTTCCGCCAGCAGGAAAAAATAATAGAGTGTTTGAAAGAAAGCTTTAAAGTAGAAAGTTAGAAACGTTTTTAAAAGGCCTTTTCTAATTTTAGCCTAATATTTAAAGTTCTATTTTATTATTAACTCAAAATTTCTCCTCATACAACTTGATGAGAGAGTTTAGTCGTCTGTCAAGCGATCCTTCCGAACTCCCCCTCTTCTGATGAAGCTCCCCAACCCAACAATCTTCTCGTTTGTGAAGGCAACTGCACGGTATACATAAATTCAAATCTTCTTATCAATTGATTGATCAAAGTGATATAATGAATTCTTATGCTGTTTCGTGGACAGATTTGTGTAAATTCCGAGTAAAAATCACGAAAACCATTTTAGGTTGCGAGTTGCAATGCGTGCTGTTCGGGATTTGGCAGCGCCGGATTGTGTCTTCCTGTTTTGGGGTGCCGTTGCCTTTAAATGACTCTTTTTATCGCAACTCTTTGTCTGATTATGTGTTGCTCTCTTCTACCGCAACCCAAAACCAAAAATAAACTTTAATTCGTTTTCAAATGCAAACACAACCCAAAATCCACATGTCTTAACACATTCACGACGAGCGCTTTTTTTTACAAAACCTCCATCTGGGACGAGCACGGTTCAGATTAGCTATTTTTATGAAAATTTGCATATTCAGCAAATAAGTAGCGTAGATCCTGAATTTAGGCTCGGTTTTTGAAAAAGAAAATTTGGTTGACCTATGTTTCTGATGTAAACTACTATGTTTCTGTTGCATTGAACCTTTTCCTGAGATTTTTTATAATAGTTAATGCAAAGTTAGACTTCATACTGTTGAATTTTGTATTTTCGACAAAAATAAAACTCCAATACCCTATAACACTCTCTATAAATTGTCTTGCAGCGCGTAATGGGCAATATAGCATTATAAACACCTACTCTTGAATATGAAACAAGATATTGAAAATCTAACAACGTCACTCGATCGGGAACACTGTTTTACATTTAGAATGAGGTTTTGGTGGAAATTTCGAGGGTTTACGCGACTTGGACCCACCAGTTGCATTGAACCTTTTCCTGAAAACGAATTAAAGTTTATTTTTGGTTTTGGGTTACGGTAAAAGAAACAAAAGCGTCTTTTGCGCACAAGCCATTTGTGCAACGTCATTAGCACAAATATTTTTTGCGTTTTTAAAACCTATTGCACCTAGAGCACCAAACAACCAAATTAGCTCAGTGCTATAACTTTTTTTGATGAAAATGTGGAAATTCGTTAGTTTGATGATAAATACCCCGAAAGAGCGTGTTTTTTTTACTTATTCCTCTACAATATGTTTACAGTTAAAACATTTCTTTGTTTAGGTTCGGGCATAACTCGAGAATCAATGATAACGAGCACACAACGAGAAGGAGTCAATCGAGAGGTAGCGCTTTGTTCTTTACTTTTCAGGCTTTTATATTGGTTTTTTTTAAAGAATTTACTTTAAACTAATATTTTTAGAATCGAATGGAATATAGCCACAGTTCGAGATGTTGTTTGGAATCACGCAGCTAAAATTGCCCGGTGGCCTCAGGTGGAATTTTGTCTCTTTTTCCACATGTTTTTAATTTTATTTAGGAACACCCAGAATGTGCGTACAATTGCTTGAATAGTTCCTATTTACGACCGGTTTACGTTCTAGATAGAATTTTGCATTTTTTTGGTGAAGAGGTGTGTGATTTGCGGCAATTAAAATTATTTCTTGAAAATCTAATTGGTAAGGGGAAATGGGCCGATCGCGGAGTTCCACTCGTCATTGACAGGGTTCATCATATTGATGTAAATTTTTAAAATGAAAATTAGCCAAATTACTCTATTTTGAAAGATTGAATACATTTTGCAAACAGAAGTTTTACCTCGGCTCCGTTTTCACGAGTTTTTTCAATGCAATGTCAATAATTTGGAAGAAAAGTTCAAAGGGCTTTGTCAAAGTAATTTTATTGATATGAAAGAGCCAAAAATCCTGGGATATTTTGATGACTGGGCTGTAGGCCATTCTTGGGCAGATATCTTACGAAAGAGTAGGTTTTAAAGTACAGCACTGATTGGCAATAATGATTTTTAGGTGGAAGGCCATGGTCCACGAAAACGTGTGGTGCGTGAAGAGTAAGTGTATGCTATGCGAGTAAGTGTTTAATCAGCTACTTCGAACCATTTCATTTATCTACTTGTCGTTTCAGCTATTTTCTGCACACAGTTGAAGAATCATCATGGGAAACAGACAAAGCACTTGCATTTGATCCGAAAACTGCTCAGCAATTGATGGCATTTAATGGGTGAGGGGTCTTGAAAGAATTTTGCTCTCGCAGACTCTGAGGTATTTTTAAACTTTTCACTGATAACCTAATGAAATATAGGTGTATATCAGCAGATTATTGGTTTACTGGGGTGATTCGGTGAAGCTAAATTAAGGCAATTGTCTCGAGGGGCTACATGCGAAAATATACGTAAGTTGAGGTTTACTTATCAAGCACAACTTATTTTAGGCAACAAGTCGCTAAAATTTTTGATCGAGTTCGAATCGACAATGCTCACAGCACACCGATACATGTCATTTATCAAAATGTTGAATGCTGTAATGTCAAATCATAACGAGCACAACCACATTCCAAAGGACTATGCCGAGGAAGTTTGTTTAAGCGAGTTTATAGGCACGCTAGCAAATAGTCTTATAGGCACGCTAAGTTAAAGCTAATGCGATACAAAGCCGGAAAAGTGGTGCAACCGTAAAAGAAGCGCTTGGCCGCCATGTCGGTAATTCACCGCCAAGTCAACGAGTAACTATCAACGTCAAATCATTGCGACGGACCTGAATCGAAAATTACACGGCATGTGGATTCAATACTTTCAAAATGAATCAACTCTAGATTTTTATGCATATCGCAATAACAACATCAGTCAAAGAGTCGGCAAAGTCCTCGTCGCTTCCACCTATCGGTGGAACCTCTATCAGCGTGTGGTCAACAACTTGGTTTAGAGGTTATCTTTTATGGTTTTCTTTTTGAATTTAATTTTTAGGAGATTCTCCAAGAAACTTCTGCTCACCGTGTTGCCCTCCAACTGTTGCATCGTCAAGAACAATGTCAAAAACGTTATCCGGACGCTATGGTTTTGAAGGGGACCCATACCTATCCATTAACCCATTAAAAACTGGTCTAAAGGCTGCTCACTCAAAAAGTGACCAAGTCACTTCAGCTGAAGAAATCTCTTATTTTTTTTACTAGAAGCCCACTGATTTTTTGTCAAAAACTTTTTGAAATATAGTCAAGCTTATCAAAAAAGCTGAGAAGAATTGATGGTTTGTTTTTTGAGAAATCACCGTGCAAACTTTTTTCGAGAACTTTCTTTCCAACCTAATAAAGCGAAGTCTTCTTTCCGTTTCAAACTAGCAAGGCAATGATTGTATCCTTTTAAGCAAAAATCTAAAAAACACTATTTTCCTTAATTTTTTTGCATTTTTCTTTTAAAAAGACGTAGATTTAGCGTTTAATTCCAGTAACAGCCCGTAAACAGTTGAATCTGTCCCTCTTCCTATTGAAACTTTTAATTTATTGATGTCATTCAAAAACATGCCGTTCGCGAAAAAAAGATGCTTTCACCCATGAATTTCTGCATAACTTCTTTAAATGAAAAAATTCTTTTAGTAGGCTGGGTACTACCCTCATTCATTTGACTTATGCACATAGTTGATTTGTGGTAGTTTGTTTAGATTGTCAAATTGTCATTGCCTATTGTTTCCCATTGTTGTCTAATCCGTTGTTTTATTATTGTTCTGCTAAATAAATTGTTTTGTTGGAAGCGATTACTTGTAAATCAATAGTGGATGAAAACCCCAGAATATTCTCGAAAACTTTTGACAAAAAACGGATTTGTAAACTTTGGATGTTTATCGCTATCAAACATGTTTTTTTATTTCAGGCAGAAGAAAAGAATTCAAAATAACTTGTCTTCAAATAACAAGATGCCATTTGAGATGAACAAGTTGACGGGATTTCCGATGGAGAGACTCTGCGATGATCTGAAGCTGGAAGTAATCGAGGAAATGGATGCACGGAATGTGATCGAGTTGGTGAAGGTCAACGAGAAATTCCGATCGATTCTCATGAGGGACCCCTGGAGGGTCTTCGGACGGCGAGTGCATGGAATTACCTATGGTCGATTTTGCCGGCAAGATGTTCTTGTCGACGGAGTCGAGCTTGATGTGGAACGCGATTTCAATCTCATCAAACGGGTGCGCTCGTGTCACTCCCTGGAGTTATATGATTTTGAAAGACCTTCCTCCGCTCACGAATTTCACGTATTGAATCAATTGGAATCGGTGGATCGAGTGTCGCTCATGGTTTATGATAATAGGCGTTTGATGAACTTTCTCTCTAATTTCAGTGGACTGGTCAAAGAAGACATCATTCTGGATTTCGCTGTTGATGAACACTCAGTGAAGGAATCTCTTGAGAACTTCATTGTGAATCAATGCAATGCTTGCGAGATGCTTTCGTTCCGATGCTTCTCGGAAGATCAATGTCGTTTCTTTTACGACACTCTCTCAAAGACCCGTGTCAAAAAACTCCAAATTTGGAATCGAAAGCGATGGGCTACCGATCCATACTTCGTTCCATGGGTCATCGATCGCGGGCTTCTAAGCAGGGATCCGGAGGCTGTTTGCTTTATTGAATGGGAAAGTAGGTTCTCACGTCGCCAAATTGAACGTTTCCTTTATGGACATGATGGAATGCAACGTGTTGAAAGGGACGCACGCCTTCAACTCATTCAGATGGCTAACGAATGTTTTCATCCCTTTTGGAAGGAATTTGTTTTTGAGAAAAGTTCATATTTCCGTTATCGAATCGATTCGAAGAGGGATTGTATTTTTGTCGTTGCGGAACCATGGTATCAGATCGAAGATGGTGTTGAAGACTATGACTATGACGACTATGACGATGACGCGGTCACCGGTCTCTTCATCAAGTGCGTGCCAAGCGAATAAAAGCCTTTTTCTCATTGTTTTGTTGTTGGTATTGTTGTTAAAGTTATCTAGTTGTTATAAATAAACTTCTAACTAGTTTTGATTATCTTTATAAACTCGCAAAGTGCTGATTAATACTTGATTCAGAAAAAGCGAGTTATTTGATATACATGTCAGAAAGCATCATTGTATTAGAAATATCACGCGTGAATGTGTAAATCAAATCAAGCTATTTGTTAACATGTCCAAAAATAATTAATTTTTGTTCCCTTTTAAACACTTTTCAAACAACTTTTCAAACCGATTTCCTCTCATACATTTTCAATATTACTTTCTTTTAGGTGCAATGGCTTCAATTGAAATGCCGTTTGAGATACGGAATTTGGTTACATTTTCGATGGAACGAATCTGCTATGACTTGAAGCTGGAAGTGATGGAAGAGAGACTTGATTAGAATTGGTGAAAGTGAATGAGGGATTTCGATCGACTCAGATAAGGGATCCGTGGAGGGTTTTTGGGAGACACGTGTACTGGAGTGAAATCAATGATGACGAGATGAAAATTATGAAGTACTTTTCATCGACCAAAACCACTTTGGAAGCCAACCTTCATTCATTAAGAGGATTGGCTCCTGTGACACATTGAAGCTTCTGAAGAAAGGACAACTCAGCGAGATGGACATCACATTCTTGAGGCAATTGGAATCGGCCAATGAGCTGCAGCTGTTTATGAAAGATCTAGGGAAACTTGTGGCATTTTGCAATAGCTTTCATTTGACAATCAAAAAGTGTGTGGCGCGGGTCTGCCAAATCAATTCATTTGGCATGAATCTCCGCCAAAACGGCACTCAAGAGATTCATTGTGTCTAAGTTGAAAGATTGCGAGGAAATTGTGCTGGCTGACTTCTCGAATGAACTCTTTCTCTTTTATCATCAAGCCTTTAAGAAGACACAAATCAAATCGATGGTCATTCTTGCAAACGACGAGCAAATTCGATCAGTCACTTTACGTACTCTCAACAATGGATTCCCGGGCAGCCATCCAAATGCTTCGATCACTGTTCCCTTGCCTTCGCTGGACAAACAAGCGAAAGAATCTCTTCACGATTCACTCATATCATTTTATGGAGTGCAATTCATCCCGCAACTGGGAAGCACTCGTCGTTTCCACGGTTCGCTCGAGAGCAACCGATAGAATTTTCGATTCACTCCGCGCATTCTCATCGCATCCACTGGTGCCATTTCATCGACGATTCTCATCTGGATCTCAGTCGGCAGCTCCTCGGGACGAAATGGGGAACATTCGTCGATTGTTCCCCATTGTTTGTTGTTTCCTTTCGTTTTCCCTCCTCTGCTTTCCGTTTGCGAACTTCTTCCATGAATAAACCAGAAAAGAGACGAAATGGCGCGTAATTTTGTTGATCGCTGGATGGGTGTACAACAACAAAACGAATAACAAACCCATCCATAGGGACATTCAAAATCTGGTTCTGATTGGTTCTGATGAATACGGTAAATCAGAAATTTTTTATGTCAAACTCATACAATATGATTTTTTTTTCTATTTCACCCAGCGAAGAACAAAATGATGATCTCTTCTCCGCACAATCCGTTGTGAACCATTGAAAGCAACTTGAACGCTTTTTCATGAACCAGAAACGAAATAGCGCGAAACGAAGTGAAATATACCGTAATTTTCCTAATAGAAGCACCGGCGCTTCCAATTTTCAATCGCCCAAAATCGGATGACCAAAAAGTAGATAATGGTCCCCACATAAATCAAAATTTTAAAAATCGTTTAAAATTATTTTAACGGATAGCAAACTTGGTCTAAAACGTACGAAAAACACGTTTAAAAGTGAAATAATTTTCCTCTGGGATCGGGGTGGGACCGATTCGACAAAAAAGATGTTACTTCCACTAATATGTGACATATTTGAGTAGAGTGTGCTCCTCGTTGACAGACAATTTGTCAGACAAATTTTCATTGACAACTTTTTTTGTCAGACAATTGATCCGACAAACTTCCGACAACGCGTTTTCTAAAAGGTGCGCTTTTTAGGCAAAGCTATAAAGGTCGCGCGAAAAAAATTTGCAAACTTTTCTTAAAATGTAGTAATGGATAGTTTTATTTAAGGATTTAGGTTTTTTAGGGCGTGGAATTTGTTTTTGAATAGTTCTAGTGCAAATGTAGACAATAGGCCTGGTAAATTCGTAAATAATATAATTTTTTAATAGTGTTTCTTGACTTTTTCCGTTTTAAATAGGTTTTTCTGAATTTTACATAGCATTTTAAAAATTTTAAGTTTTAGCGAACTTTTGACATGAGCTGCGATGAAAATCAAGTCTTTCGCGCGGTGTCCGACTCCAAGAAATGCGGAGGACGACCATTTTATTTTTTTGTATTTTTATATTTTTTTGCTCCTCTTTAGGCTTTTTAAAACAAATTAAACAAAATTGTTTTAGGGTTGTTGATCTCTCTTACGCTCGTCGATTTTCAAGAAGACGAGAATAACAATCAACGCGGCAGCTTTACAAGGACGGTTTTTTTTTCTTGTCTAGTTTCCGTAATTTTAACAAAATACCGGGGCTAATTTCGCTTTTTTAGTAAAGAAGAAAAGAAATGCAGGAACAACAATGATTAACAACAAATTAACAAAGATCAACAACTATAAAAAGGTAAACTTTCTTTATAATTCCATAGATATAAAATCTTCCTCATCACTAGATTCTCCCTCAGATAGTGATTCGGCCTCCAATGAGCATCCCGCTAGGGCCATTTTCGTTAGGGCTAACTGTTTTTCTTCGTACAAAATAGATGGGGAATTCTTAATGAGAATGCCAATTTTTTTAAAGACTCAAACTGCGTAAAGTAAGACCTAGCGGAATTTGTAAGGGTCGTAGCGAGGAACAGCAATCGCCCAGAGTCGGCTGTCAATCTGCTTTTTCGAGAATCAGAGAAGATTCGTGTGACTTTGCTGAAAGCCCGCTCCGCATCGATTGAAGTAATCGGTGTAAGGAGGTACTTTGATGCAATTTTGTAAAGCTATAATCATACGGGGTATTATATATGTTATAGGTAAGACCAGGGTACCGTAGGGAACGCGGAGCGATTTTTATGCCAAAACTCGTGGATGGTCATTGTAACTAGATGAGGATTGCTTTTCATCATAGCTACATAGGAGGCAATCTCTTGCTAAACAAAGGGGTAACGGGATATCTTCTTAAGAATACCTCTAAACTCGATTTTTCTTTAGGCTTGGCAAGTAGAAAGAAATCAAGAGCTATCTTTTTTGAGCTTTCTGTTGTATCTATAGGTTGCGTAGGCCTCGGTACTAAAATACCAAGTTTTATAAATACGCTCTAACAACCATTATATCTTTGCTTTAACTTATCAGCACATTTGTTCCATTCGGTTGCGTCTTTAGCCATTGGATTGAATAGTATTTGATGATCGAAGAATGATGCCTCCTATAGTAGGTTTTTGTCAAAAATTAGCTAATTTTTTACGTTTATTATCAAGGCTATAACAAAATCTTTAGCTTGTAGAAGAGCTCAAGAAATTTCGTAGCTAAGGGGGTTGCGTTGTTCTCTAGTTCAATTTCCGCTGATGGCCACAGGCGGCAAGATTGAACAAGGCAAATTTCTTCTTTACAGGCCTTAAAACGAGTAAATTTAGGTATGTCTTTACTTAATTTTCTACCTCTAAGGTGACTCGGTAGGAAACCGCCAAGACTTCGTGGAACTCAATTATTTTTTGTTCCTCTTCCTTGTTAATGATAGTTTGGCTTAACTTCACAAGAATCTCGTTGAGAAATTCAAGCTAAGCTTTTTTTGTTTAACTATAATTAGAAAGTAGAGCAAACATTTTTTAGGCTGTTTTTAAGCAGATCGAAAGTGGATCCCCAGCGTGTCGCAACATCTAACTGTGGCCTAGTTGAGGTTGGGAATCTTTGTTTAAATTCTTTTAGAACGATGCTTTTGGATAGAGCCGCGATCGCATTTCTAAGTTTTTCCACCGACTGTGACATGTCTATTTCTTCTTTAAATTTCTTGACTACATTGTGAATGAGGTGAGCAAAGCAATGTATGCTAAAATAAGATAGAGTCACTAATTGCTTTGGTCAATTCAACCGTCGAGTATTTATGTTTATGGCTGCATTTGTGTTGGTTCCGGCACCGTCTGCTACAAAGAATTGAACTTTGTCTGCTAAGCCATAAGATTCAAGAACGCCGCTAACATCTTTAGTGATTACATAAGCCGTGTGTGTGTGTATTCTAAGCGTGAATATTAGGGACAATTTAAAAAGTTAAACCTTGCAAATTATTTAGCGCCAGGATGACATCTTGCTTCTTGCCATTTGCGTCAAGAAAGTGGGCAAGAGTGATGTTGTAATTCAAAGGATTTCTTTGAGATGTGTATGCGTCACTTGAAATCGAACATTTCACAATTTCTTTTAGGCTTTCCCCTATTTGGTCTTCGAGTGACCGATCGTTGAATTTTTTATGGTGTCGATCCTATACTTTTTTTGTAGTAAATAACTTTTTATAAACTTTTTTCGACCAGGCATTTTGATATTTTGTGCATGCTATTTTGAAACCATGCTTTCCACCTTTTGCTACGACTAAGCTGAGTAATGGAGATATTAGTTTCGGCCATAGCTAGTGTCGAAAGCGTATCGTTTTTCCTAGAAAAGGCGGCCATTTAAAAAATGTATATCACTAACAATGCCATCACATTTGGATCCGCACCTTCAATCATTTCTACAATGTTTGCTATAGTGTTATCGCGGTGAATTTCTGCCGCTGTCCACTCCACCGGATGCTCTGACTGGCTTAAGGTTTGCAAAAATAAAGTAAATCTACTTTTAGATTGTGTTTCATGGCGTAGAGGGCGTCAATGGTATAGCTTGCAATTGCGTTTTTAGGGCATAGATTGCATTGTGCTCGAGTCTCTTTACTGCTCACATCTACATACTTTGCCATCAAATCCCAATTTAGTGAGGGCATTTTAGGTTTACGCGAAGGAGTTGCGGAACTCTTAAAATGATTTATAAGCGTAAAGGCAACTATCACTAGAATTTACCCTATTACTGGGAGAAACATCCATTTTCTCTCACAATCACACGGTCTTCTACGCAGTACTCTAAATAGTAGGAATTAGCAACCTAACCTTTTTGAAAAAGAGAAAAAAACAAAAAGTTATGGAAAAAGTAATAGAAAAAAATTTGCTGAGAAAAAAAAGCATAGGGTTACGGTAGCTTATCTTTGGCGCGCGCTTTTTAGAAAACGCGCTGTCTGCAAGGAACACACTCTATATTTGAGGGTCCATATCTATAGAATAATGAAACAAGTCGCTTATTAAAATCAAATTTTGGGGTCTTCTATGAGGTGAAATTTGTATGGAGAGGAGCGGCGCTAATTTCATCTTAAAAATTTAACATCTATATTACAAAATTCGATCTCTTAAATACACCTCTCGTCAGTAATGTGTAGGATATTTGCTTGAGAAAAGGCAAAACGAGGAACTGTCTGCTAGTGAACACTTTCGCTCAAGCCTTCGAATTTCGCCATTGACACGAGCGGGCACGATTTAATAACCAAATGAAAGCTCTTCGTGTTCCATTCTTTTGAATTTCGACTTTATGAGTTTTTTAAGACTAGAATGAACTTTCAAAAAATGGAAGCGGCTAAATTTCCCTTCAAATGATCGAAAATCCATTCATGATCAAAAGTGTGTAGTTTTTTCAATCAGTGACTTCAATATTGACACATTCGAACAGAAATCAATCTCCGATAAATAGCATCGGCTAAAAGTGATGCAAAAAAGAAAAGGAATCCTTTCACAAAAACCGATTAAGAAAATTTTGGGTTCAACTTTTGCGGAAGCAGAATTTGATGTGATTTAATGAAAAATTATCCGTATAAAAGCGAACGACCGAGTCTCGAATTCATCCGTTCATTCGGCATTCAATCCGGAAGGGAACTCATGTTATTCAATCTTCTCACTACTCTCAGCGTTTCGGATGAGTTATTTAGTGAGTTTTTCGTGTTTTCTCTATGAGAAGAGTGAACTCTAATAGAAGAGCGCTCTGAAATCGTCTATTTTATCGACGTTTTACAAGTGATCAACACTGATACTATTAGATAATCAACTCGGTTTAGCATCCACTGTTCTTGCGACGCTGCCTGCATGCACAAAATGTCCGGCAAGAGGTAAATATTTGAATGATAATGAGAATAAGAAGATGAATTACTAGTTATTGATATTAATATAGCATAAAAGGTGACGCAGCATCATTAGTTTAAATTTGAGGTCAGTGGTCCAATTGGAAGGATTACTCGAGTTGCACGGAAAGTTGTGGATTAAACGGAAAGAAAGTTCAAACCCGAAAATGTCTTTCGTGGAAATGGGGATGTCCATGCAGGTAGTGAAGAAGAAAGGAATGTTCAATAACTGCAATATCTAGTTAAATACACTCAAATATACAGGGTGACAAGAAATAACGGAATATTTTCTTTTTGAGCAAATGAAAACCACGTAAACAATAGATTCATAAGAACATTATTTTTAACAACATTCAAGCTATAAATAACGAAAAAAGATTTTCGAAGTGGCCCCCTTCAGCTTTAACGTAGAGCTTGAGACGCTTAATCAAGTTTTCGGCTATGGGTCTCAGCTCTGCCACCGTATTTCTGTCCCATTCCAGAGTTCAATCCCGAGTTCAGCGAGTTCAATGCCTCCAAACTTTTGTGGGGCTTAGCACAGGCGCTTGACTCCAAAATCGACCACGCACTGTAGTCCTTTGGGATTGAGATCACAAGAGTATGGAGATCATTCCTGAGCCGAAATGAAATCGGACAAAGTGGCCCTGCACCAGTCCTGAAAGGATTTAGCTCGATGGGAGGGCGCGGAGTCCTGTCCGTCGAAACTTGAACGTCGAAACTTGGTTGCCAAAGCGCTGCTGGGTCCAGGGAAGAAGCACATCTTCGAAAATTTCCTTTCGATAAACATCCTGGTTCATTTTCACGCCGGGATCAATGAAAACCAAGGGGTTTTGCCCAAATTCCCGCTCAAACCTTGACAAAGTTCGAATTTTGGCGATGTTGAACGATAGAGGAGGCTCCTGGAGATGTCGTAGCCCACAACGATTGTAGCTTTGATCGACCGAGAATAACTTTTCATCGAAAACAGGATCGGAGGTGCATTTGGAGTTGCGGGTAAGCTTGATAAGCTTTCGGCATTTATCGAGTCGAACTCGCCTGTCGGTGGGCCAACATCGGTGAGCAATTGGCCTTGCTTGAGCCTGAACGGACGTAAGTTGAGATCATGTTTAGCAATAAGTCGCACAGATTCTCAATTCACTTTGATATCCCTGGCAATCTTTCTCATTGAGACCATTGAATTTCGGGCAACTCGGTTCTTGATGATTTTTCGAATTCTAGAAGTATTGACTGTCTTTTTTCGGTCTGATCCTTTGTGCCGAGCTCTTTGAATCTTTTGATTGTTTTTGAAATGGTTTCTTGAGGGATTTTGAGCAGCCCAACGATCTCCTTCTGTCTTTTTCCAATCCGGTACAACTCCCAAATTGCATTTCGTGGAACTGTGATTCTAAAACAATAACTTTGATAACGTTTGAAATTAGAAAACAGTGGGTTTAATACAGAAAAATACGCAAATTTTCAAAAAATAAGGAAGCCGGATGAAAACACTTTATTTCGATATATAATATTGCGCAAGAAAAGAATATTCCGTTATTTCTTGTCATCGTATTTATTTATCTCGTATTTATCTCGCATATGATTTAGCGGAGCATATTCTCGTCTCAAACCATGCACAGTCAAACCGTGTCTCGTTGGAGGGATTTCCGTTTGTGCTGAAGGATACTCGACGGTTTGTTCGAATTATCGAATGTTTTTTTTTCCGAATTGCATATCTTTGTTTTATAGTGGACAAACCCGGTGTCGGGACTTCTTTTGTGCGGAAATGTGACTCTTCCGAGTGATTACGCGAAACCGAATTGCCGGTTCACAAGTAAGAGAGGAACGCAAAAAGAGGAGTGAAAATGAAATCGAATTACAGAAGTTCTTAACAAATGTGCGTATCCGGATTTGGGAATTTGGACAGGATGGAAATCGGAAGGAGAATGCACAGCGACGTGTGGATTGAATGGAACAGTGACACAGAAAAGAACGTGTAAATCGGCGAGTCGAGGGGTTCCGTGTGTGTGAGTTGATAGAAGCCAGAGATTTGTTGATGAGTTGATAGACGAAATGAGATAGAAGAGCAAACCAATCAATCCACTCTCATAAGTAGCTATTTTAGCGGTCCGACGACACGAACAATTCATTGCCCGAAAAGCGCCTGTCCGGGAGACATTTGCTCGTTGGGAACACGGCCGGTTTGAACAATTCCACGGAAATCTCGAATTTCGGCTTTTAGGTGAACAACTTGAAGACTGGAAGAAAAATTTGTGGCTTAGGATTGCCACAGGATCCGGTATTGACGCTCCCAAGCTGCCCGGTATACTTTATTGATAATAAGGGTGATAAAAAGGCTATATTTAGTTAAATCAAGAATTTCTTATCAACTTTCACCCTATGCATTCGTATTTTTAGTCAACGACCACGAAAAAACCGACAACAAAAAAGGCGACCACAACTCGCGCCCCATCTGGAGCGTGTACGAGTCATTATGTATGGGAAAATACAACATACAATACACCAAATATTCAGGCCTCATCCACGAAATATGCAAATTGTGCGGCAGTCGGTAGTGGATTTGTGGCAGTGGGTGGCTCGTGTTATAAAGCGATCTTCACGGGCTCGGATTATGCGGGATCGAGAGCCGCGTGTAAAGCAGAACACCCGGACGCTGATTTGGGAACGATTCGATGTGCATCGGAGAATACGGGAGTGTCGAGTGCGTGACTAGAGTTGAATAAGATGCGGAGGAGGCTGATACTCTAATAGCCGGTACTATTACTACAGTACTGGCCATTAGAGTATCAAGCCCTGAGATTTTCGCAAGGCCCTCAAGGCCCATAAAACTAAAATCAATCCAAAACCCCATATATATTCTGAAAGCTGATAAAAAGGCTGCAAAATAGTGGTACTTATTGTTTAAAATGATTTCATTTTAATACTATTCCATTGGGTTGAATGAAGGGCTCGGAAAACTCGAAGTTTCAAGAACGCAGTAGCGCAGCTTTATACAGTCGTGCTCAAGAGTTTGGACACATCTCTTTGGGAAACATCTCTTTTTGGGATCCAATTTTGAATACTCGTTTTTGAAATAGAGAATTGACACTAACACAACAAAAATCACTAAATAATGGGTAGTTTACAATGCAAAATTTACCGATTCGTTAATAAAACAAAGCTACATCGCATTTGGTTCCTATTTGGTTCCAATACGGCTCCTATTTTATTCCAATCCAATACATATCCAATACAATTCCAACACAGGAGCGTCGAGTGCGTGACCACCTAAAAACGAGAGAAAAAAGCTTAAAAGAAAAAAAATAGCCACGCCAATTGATTGAAAGCGCAAAAATTCTAAAAGTATAAATAAGATATACGTTTTCTGGAGAAAAAAGTATGCAAATTTAACGTTTACGGACAATTAAATTGAGGTCGATGGAAAACGGCTGGTATAGAATGTTTAAGAAGAAATTTGGATGTTGTGTATTTAGATGTGATCCCTCAAGCATTGAAAGACCAGTGTGCAACATTCGGCGACTATTTCCAAAGTGTAAGTTTCGATTTTTCTTTCGGTTTTTCGTCTAATTTTACCAATTTCAGCAGCTTTTATTGGGAATCAATGATGTGACGGCGACAAGCGGGATTGTTTGGACAAACGGAGCCAATTCAACATATCGGTTTGAGCTGAAAATAGGGAAAAATAGACTCTTCAAATTTCTAGAAACTGGGCACCCGGGGAGCCGAGTTCCGATATGAGTGTGGCCTATGTGGCAAAGGTTGATTTAAGAATGGAAAGCTGGAGATCTAATGAATCTAAGCTATCTAATAAAACGAGAAGAATTATGAATGAACTTGGTCTTTTTTCAGCAATACCTTTCTGGAACAAATCCACAAGGAGGTGCGTCGCTTCCCATTGGATCGTGGGATAATTTTGGATTTTATGCGATAAATTGTGCTGCTCTTTGTGAAGTGATCACAGTAAGTTGGCTCTCTGGTGAATCAGTAAGTTGTAAAAATCAGTAAGTTGGCTCATGTAACACTAATTTGATGTGTATTCTGCGATCAAATACAATGCAAATATTATTGCATATTTTGATTCATTTAGGCACAAAGTGGAAATGGTTGTGGAGTCGACTATAAGCCGTGTGCTGCTGCAGTAATGGAAACCCCCAAAAGTAGGAACTTCTACGAGCTATTCGTGCTAGAGATGGCTATCGGATCGGATCGGATCGGATAAACTTGATCCGGAGGCTTGGCTCTATTGGATTTATCCGATCCAATCCGATCCGATCCAATCCGATCCGATCCAATCCGATCCGATCCAATCCGATCCGATCCAATCCGATAAACTTTTCTATAGGATTAATCCGATCCGATCCGAATCAAAAGTGGGAACTTCTACTATTCTTCTCTAGCTATTCGTGCTAGAGATGGCTATCGGATCGTAATTAGAGAAAAAAGCAACTCTAATTCGTGCGATCCTTTCATTAATCATCTTCTGTTCCACATTCGAACTCTCAATAATTCGCCTCGCTTTCAGCATGTTTGGATTGCTCGGCGACAACTCCTCCAATTCAACTTATGATGCCGAGTGATGCAAGCTTGTACACTAGTGAGTTCAACATGATCCCTACACCAAAAAGAAACTAATTTAAATGTTTAACTTAATGTCTCAAGCAATTTCTTCAAAAAACCCTCCGAATTGCAGCCCAATTCGCGCTCGATGCAAATTCTGGTTGTAATTCTTGGGGATACACGTGTACAGCAGCTGGACCCCAATACATCGCCCATCTTACTGTATGTGATATGAGAGTATTCCCCTCAATTCCCCTCAATTTCCCTCGAATTTCAGTTCCACGCCTACAATGCCACTCAAACATTCTTTGTTGCAAGTTCGCCTGGAGGCTCGGTGCCGGGGGCAATGGTTTGCAGTGCAGATGCTTCGAGTTTCCAGGCTCGAACAACAATTGAAATCATGAAAGTCCAGTGTGAACCGATGGCTGTGGTATGCTTATTTCCTGCCTACCTACAACTAAGTCTTTCATTTCTTTTTCCACATTACGATCTTTATAAAAAAGCAAATTTAGGACACCACAGCATAGAATGAGATGTGCCGACAACACTAAGCCGTCTAATAATTCTATAATAATTCTAATAATGATGATAAATTGAAAATGAATTTTGATTCCACTCGCAACTACAATAAAAAGTGTTAAATATCACAAAAGAAATTTGCATTTTATCAAAGAAAAAGTATTATAAAGTAATCGTCGTATTATAAAGTATTATAAAGCTTCCACGGTGAGCTCAAGCCCCGTAGAGTGAGAGCATTTTGAAGTGATTTCACTGTTCTATTCTAAAGTAATTCTAAAGTATTAGTAATTCTTTCTAAGACTTTACAAATGGAGGAGGTGAGCGCGATGGGTCTATAATTTGCAAGCGCGCTCCGATCTCCTTTCTTAAAAAGTGGCGAAATTGTTGAGTCTTTCCAAAATTTAGGCATCTTAGCCGTTAGAAGTGACAGATTAAAAAGTTTAGCAAGTAGTGGTGCTATTTGAAACTTAGCTTTCCGTATAACAAAAGAGGGAATTCCGTCTGCGGTGTAAGAAATCTTATTGCTAAGCTTACTAATTACTGTTTCGACCAGTCTTGGTGTGACGATTAGGGCTGCGCAAGTATGTGCTGGGGCGGGAAGAGCTGAGATGCAACTACCATCGTCAACTACGAAAACGCTGGAGAAATATTGAGCAAAGGAATTAGCAATTTTGTGATTTTCGAAAATCAACGAGTTGCGAAGGGGATTAAATATACATTTAATAGAGGAATCGTGGTTTGGGTTAATCTTAGAATAGACGTATGAGTAAAAAAAAGCCTCAAAGCTGACTAGGACTAAAAACGACTTTCTGTTCAATATTGGCCTCAAATTTTTTGACAAACTTAGTTAGCTTAGCAGTTAACTTAGTTAGTTTTCTAGATATGCGTAATGGGGGGGTAGAGTGTGTTCCTTGCAGACAACGCGTTTTCTAAAAAGCGCGCGCCGAAGATAAGCTACCGTAACCCTATGCTTTGCGTCAGCAAATTTTTCAAAGTGCAAATGTATATTAAAATCTTGCGCTTTTTTTTCTGTTATTCTTTCCATAACTTTTTGTTTTTTTTTTCTCCTTTTCAAACAGGTTAAATTGATAATTCCTACTATTTAGAGTACTGCGTAGAAGACCGTGTGATTGTGAGAGAAAATGGATGCTTCTCCCAGTAATAGGGTAAATTCTAGTGATAGTTGCCTTTACGCTTATAAATCATTTTCAGGCATTTTCATCGTCGCAGCTCATGTCAAAAGTTCGCTAAAACTTCAAAATTTTAAAATGCTATTTAAAATTAAAGAAAACATATTTAAAACGGAAAAAGTTAAGAAACACTATTAAAAAATTATATTATTTAAGAATTTACCAGGCTTATTGTCTACATTTGCACTAGAACTATTCAAAAACAAATTCCACGCCCTAAAAAACCTAAATCTTTAAATAAAACTATCCATTACTACATTTTAAGAAAATTTTGCACATTTTTTTTCGCGCGGCCTTTATAGCTTTGCTTAAAAAGCGCACCTTTTAGAAAACGCGTTGTCGGAAGTTGTCGGATCAATTGTCCGACAAAAAAGTTGTCAAGACAAATTTGTCTGACAAATTGTCTGTCAACAAGGAGCACACTCTGGGGGGGGATCGCGATAACGCCAAGCTGTTTCTAACCTTTGCCTAGCTCGAGATATGTGACTGGGGTAAGAAGAGGTAGACCTGGTTGAAATAGGCACATTTTCGTCCAACAGCGATTTCATCTCTTCAAAGAAGTCAGCATAACACTCGTTGATGTCCATCTCTAATCGGGGAAGAAAATGAGAATTTTATAAATGAGAACTTTAGGTTTCTTGTGCTCCATTATCTTTGGAGAAACGAAAACGCAAATACGAAAAGAACGAAAACGACAAAAACGACGGTAAATTTCATAAAAACTTAACGAAAATCTTGAGGTTTAGATTTTTTTTTTCGAAAAAGACACCATAATCAAATTTAGATGCGTTTTAGAATCCAGAATTTCGTCGAAATTTTATTTGCTTGGCACTTTGAGCATTTAGAAAGAAACATCAAGAATGAATCGATTCAAAAGAAAGACAACAATGTCAAGTTGATCGAATCGATCGAAGGCCAAAAAAAGCGAATCGATTGGATCATAGACGAGATTGTTGAAGCGAGAAGAATGGCGACTTTCGAGAGGTTGGCGGGGTGAGGTATGGAGGAGTGTACGCGGTGGCATCGTGCTTCAAACGAATCGCCACCTCTTCCGATGCAGAATCGTCATAGCTACAGTAGGTTTTGTGGGGGATTCGATGTTTAGTACTGAGCTTTTTGAGCTAGGAAAGCTGGACAGCTTTTGAGCTTGCACTTTGCTTAATGGATCTTGCCGGGTCTAAGGGGTCTTATAGAATCAAGTCCTAAGGCCAAGCTAGTCCGGCAGTGGAATCCAAGCCGCTAAAACGTCCGTCAAGCCTGCGCCTGGAGAATTTCTGATCAACTGAACAGCTATCGGACGATTGACGAACGATTGAGGTTGACCCCCTGGCTTCTGGACTTACAACAAAGTCACGCCACATTCCGGTGGTCTTACAATTAGTGGACCCAACACCCAGGGCTCTACAGCATGAAAACCAGGTCAGAGTCAAGCCTAAGGCTCCAGGCCTAACCATTAGAAGTGAAAACAAGAACATTAGAACAAGTCAGCTATAGAAGAAGAATGTTTCAATCTGGTTCCAGGTCTTGTGAGCTAAGATGCTAGGCTAAAACAGACCAAATACAGGGCCAAGTCTGGCTTCTGACGGATTCAGAGACTTTTTGTGGGTCAAGCCTGCTATGATGCAAGGTAAGTCAGATGCCAGACCAAGCCAAACCCAGGCTTTATCAATTTCACACTAGTCTAAGCTGTGTTTGAAATTTTAGCTCATTTGGCTGAGTATTGAATGTCACTGACACTGACACTCTGACATTGAATGTCAGAGTGACAAGCGGTTGTGGCGCAACTAGAATTTTAGGACATTAGAATGTATCATCAAACAATTTTCGTTGCTCTTATTGTCGTAGACTGTTAACTCACTCTGTTGGCGAATAGGGAAGATTTGTCAAGTTTTGGTGGCTCAGTTGAGGAGCACTGAAACTTTAGAGTTATAAACAAAAAAGGAATTTGACAATACTGGTGTTCTTGGGATGCTTGTCTTTGCCAGACATCGCTAGTTGATGTGCCGGAGGTGCTGGGTGCCCGGGTTGATCTGAACTTGTAGTACAATACGATAAGAACTATTTGACAAAAAGATTGGCTGAATATAGCTTCATGTCACAGACCGATGAGCCTCATGAATCGGATTAAGATTCAAGTCGAATCGCTCAGCTTCAAGCCTTCTCATTGACTCCATCTCGTACTGTTCGTTGCTCACTTGTGGCTCTTGTTTGCGTTGTCTCTGTAAGTTACTATCGTTTACTTTTACTGCAGTAAGATCTACTTTGTATTGTAACAGGATTGTACAATACAAAGTAGATCTTACTGCAGTAAAAGTAAACGAACTGAAATTGTAGATAAATCCAGAACTTGGGGGGCAAAAGCTTAATAGGTTCGGTAGTCTAGCAGACTATCCACTAGATCATCGAAGCAGTTGTTAAAGAAGCGTGTGACGACCTCATAAGGATCCTCAAAACCTCAAAATTCAAGGTGATTTTCTATGCCAAATATCTCGCGTTGGCGAGACGTTCTGCAAGGACTAAAGTGGATTCGAGATCCCCATGGCCGACTCTATGAGATGGATTTGGTCTTGAGTCAAAAGGTCAGCTTGACTCAGTGCTTTTCCCTTGTCATTACAGTCATGAATCCTATAGTTTTGTTTAGGACATAGAACCTGATTTTTCGCTTTTGATTAAGAATCCAAAAATGAGGAGTCATTCAAAACATCGGCACCGCAAGGAAAGAAGAGAAAAAGGCGTAGAGAAACGGTAACTAACGTGAGTGAAATGCGCAGTGAAAAGAGCTGTACGGAGATGCTTTCTTTATGATTGATTCTACGATGACATCAAAACTTAGGCATAGTGACGCAAAAAGCGACACAATTTGTCTCCTGACAATTTGCTTCGTTGAAATCTCAGCTTTTCGGCTGTTTTTCAATTGAGCTTTAAGCTGACGTAACTAAACAAAAAAAAGGATCGAAAAAATATTGTGCCTTTGTTCAAACAATGTTCTGTAAAAGTAACTAGTCTCTTTTCTGCAAAACGAGGGTAATTCGCAGTGAAAAGAGCTGTGCGGAGATGCTTTCTATGATTGACCCTGCGGTGAGATCAAATTTAGGCATAGTGACGATTGAAGCTATTCATTTTATTGAATCCATTGAATGAAACTCAAGTTTAATTGATCTAAATTGTTAGATAAATCCGCAAAGTTATTCTTAGAGAGACGATTCGTCGTTTTTAAATGATTTATGATTTAAATCATTGATCAAAATGATTTCTCTTTGCTTTAGCAAGAAGTGAGAATTGGTCTTAATTCGAATTCTTTCTTTAATCTTCAAGACGATTTTTCTCTAGGTTTTTATTAAAGAGTATACAAAACAAATTTCACTTTTCTATAACCAAATTTAATGAAGATTCTATTAAAAGCAATTACAAGTCGACTCAAGTTCTATACCTCGAGTTATAGACCATCTAAGTTGATTCACTCTTCCAGATAGGTAGTTCAACTTTGACTCAAATTTTCTCTATGTTCTTACACTTGAGTATATAAAACAAAGTTCACTTTTCTATAACCAAATTTCATAGGGATCATTTCAAAACCAACCCTAAGTCGATCTGGTAATTGGAAGTCGAATTATAGAGTAAAATAGCAAAGTGCGCTAAAGTGCCATTTTGACTATAGAAAACCTATTCTGTTTACAGCTACTGTTTACAGAAGATTAAATTAAACTAAATTTTCACCAACCCGATGATACCGTTGTGGGAGTCGTTTCGTTTTTGCGTATTGTACTTCGGGTGGGGCGCGGAGACGGCGATTCTCTCGGGAATTCGAATAAACCGGATCGGCTGAATAGCAGTTTAATGTAAGATCACTGTAGCAACATCTACAGTTAGCAAAATCTACAGTATCTACAGTAATCTAAGTACTGTAGCACTCACCAATAACTACAAAATTAGTCCTACAATGCACTCACCAATGATTGCAGCTGGTGGCCAAACGGACGGTATTACTTGCGACTCAGGCGTTGACGGAGTTTCATAATCTAGATTAGCAGAAAGCATATCTTTAGATTAAATTAGCATATCTTTAGAGTTAAATCCAATTCAACAATGAGAAATTCAAAACCTGAACTACAAATATTCGTCTCGCGTAGCTCAGCCATTTCCTCGACTCGTTCAGCCAAATTCTCTAGCTTCTCTTCAGGCAATGATGGTAAAAGACGTCGACGAGTTGTTGGAGTGATCGTTTGTTGTTGAGTTGTGAAAGGTTTCGCTTGATCAAACGCATCTATCCCAATCGTTGTTATCCCTTCAATCTCCTCCAAACCGTTTCCATCGTTTCTTGGCTTGTCTCGGCGACTCCGCTTATTTGCGTTCTCAAGCCGGCCGCCAAATGGAACCTACAAAATTTTGTTTTCATAGCAAAATCTAACCTAAACTTACAATTCTTCGAATAAATATAATTTTGAGTAAAGCTTCTTCAAGAAAGTTTTCAAGTCAATCAAAAAAAGCCAGTCAATCAAAAAAAGCTAAATCTAGGTTAGATCAGCTAATCTTAGGCTTCAGAAAGTCAAAAGACAAAGCCTCCACAAGACAAAGCCTCCAGAAGACAAAGCCTCCAGAAGACAAAGCCTTCAGAAGACAAAAACATTGAGGTGTCCATGTCAGAAGTTTGGCTAGACTAGGCTAAACCAGGTTTGTTTAAGTTTGACCTAGATCTAAGTCAGTTTCAGGCTAAACCCAATCAAGCTAGGTCAGATTTAGGCTCTGATCCAGGATAGGATTCAAAACAGATCTATGTAAGCTAGACCTAGACTATGCTAGACCCAGACTAGGCCAGACGCAGACTAGGTTAGCTCCTGGCTTAGGTTTAGGTTAGCTCCAGGCTTAGGCTTAGGTTAGCTCCAGGCTGAGATCCAAGTTAGACTAGATTCAACCTAGAAATGATCACAAAACAAAACAAGCCTTAACAACCGAATTCCAGATACTCTCGACGTGCCAATACCAGTGCCAGTACACGTATAACTAAACTAACTTTGAGTAATCTCTAAACTAAACTTACAAAGAAGAAATTGGCGGCCGATCCAATGAGGTAGATCGCTAAGGGAATCAGGGGAGCCGGTTCTAGAAAATTAGCCTTTACAGCAAACTTTAAAGCAGGTTAAATCAATCTAGGTAAAGCATCGATCTAAGTAGATCTAGGTACTGATGAGTCTAGATAGCCTGGCTTCAATTTCTAACTAACTTTCTGCTTCCATAAGCACTGGAAGCACTCGGGGCAGCGTGGACAACGCGAGGATCAACAAACCGATTCCATAGGCTGATTGCTAAATGTTTTCATGAAATAAGTGTACGAGGTCGAAGTTTTGAAGCTTATAGACTGCTAAAGTTAGATTAGATCCAGGCTAGACTAGAGCAAAACTGGGTTAGATCTAAGCTGGACCAGATCTAAGCTGGACTAGATCTAGGATGGACCAGATCTAGGATGGACCAGGTCTAGGATGGATCAGATCTAAGCCGGACCAGATCTATGCTGGAACGGAGCTAAGCTGGACCAGAGCTAAGCTGGACCAGAGCTAAGCCGGACCAGATCTAAGCTGGACCAGATCTAGGCTCTTATCTTACCAGAAAATCGACCAGACAAAGTTTATGAACTGATTGTGCACAATTCTATAAATTTCCTTACCAAAACAAGTAGTGGCCAAAGATTGGCCGGCTTCGGATGCTCTGTACAAGCAAAGGGAAGTGAGGAGATTAGGGAAACGGCATGGATGAGACACCTAAACGATGAATTTGAGCAAAAGCCAACTTTGGATTTTCTAATTTCAACCAACCATGCCAATCGACCAAATCCTCCATCCATGTACTCGGCCAAACAGCCATCGATTCCCCAAAGGGCTTTGAGCAGCCCTGCAAGTTGATCTTCTTACCCTTACTAACTCGTGAAAGACACCAAATCAAGGTGGAGCTTTAATTGGAGAGTTTTTAATTTAATTATTTTCTTTTCACCCTGATACTTGCTGAAATTCCACATTCCACATTGCCTGGGAGGAACACATTACTTGCGTAACTCAAGTAATTACTCTAACTGTAAACTGTACTCTAACAAACTCTAACTATTAGGTTGGCAACTTAATAATGACGCGCGCTTATGTAACAAATGATTTATTTCAAAAAAACACAAAAGAAGAGCTTTCAATTCGAAAGGTATTCTCCATTAGTATCTATGACTTCTTCCCATCTTCTGCCCAAACCCCGGATCCCATCCTCGAAGAACTTGGGAGTTTTTGAGGCGAAGTAGTCATTCACTGCTTTTATGACCTGAGCATGATCATCGAACTTTTCTCCCTCCAAAAAGTGCTTCAGCGACCGAAACAAAAAGTAATCTGAAGGAGCCAGATCAGGTGAATAAGGCGCGTGGGGCAAAACTTTCCAGCCAAGTTCCTCGATTTTCTTATAAGTGATCTTTGCAAGTGTGAGGTTTTGCGTTGTCGTGTAAAAATCTGACTCCCTCCGGTTTGAGCCCCAATTTCTTCAAAGACTCGTTAACTCTCATTAATTGCTTCGAATAAAGATCAGCATCGACGGGGCAGTCTTCAATTAAGTCATTGGGCAGTCTTCAATTAAGGCGAGGTTTCAGCACTTCATAATGCACCAATCCCTTGAAGTTCCACCAGCAACAGAGCATTATCTTCTTCCCATGGATATCAGGTTTGGGAGTGGTTTGAGGGGTCTGCCCAGCAGATAGCCATTGATTTTTGCGTTTAACGTTCTCGTAGTTGATCCACGTTTCGTCAGAAGTCAAAACCCTGTGAAAAAAGTCGTTTGATTTACATTTTTGTAGCAAAATTGAGGCGACATTGACACGGGCCATTTTGTTGCTTTGGGTCAGTTCGTGAGGAACCCATTTTCCAACTCGATTCTTTTTCCCAAGTTTGTGTAAATAGTTTTCGATTGTCGTATGGGATACTTCAAATATTTCTGCCAACTCACGAACGGTGAGTGTTGGGCAATCTTCAATTAAGGCGAGCAAGTCATCGTCGACCACTTCTGGAGGATGTCCTTGGTGTGGCTCGTCTACGAGGCTTTCATCGCCGCCTTGGAATCTTTGAAACCATCGTTGACATTGCCGAATGTGTATACTTTCCTCTCCAAAAACAGTGATGATCGTGCGATGAGATTCAGCTGGTGATTTTCCTTGTTTAAAATCGTAGAACAATGAAGCTCGAATACGGAATTTTTTGTCCTCCATTTTTTGCCAAAAAGCAAATGATGAAATTTGGAGCACTAAATGTTATTTATGCAGACATCTTTTACTTTGTATATATGCAAAAAAGAGGGAAGAAACGGCGCTTGAAATTACAAAAAAACATGTTAAGTAGTGACGCGTCATTATTAAGTTGCCAACCTAATATAAGCCATGCCAGTCCAAAGTCGGAACTCAAGTGGCTTAGGCTTAGGCTTAGGCTTAGGTTTAGGCTTAGGCTTAGGCTTAGGCTTAGGCTTGGACTTAGGCTTAGGCTCAGGCTTAGGCTTAGGCTTGGACTTAGTGCGAAGGCTAGCGGCTAGCGCCTCGCACTAAGTCTATTTGGGTTTGGGCTGAGCCTCCATTTTCTGGATCTCAGCCGGTTCCCGGAGCTAAGGTGCAAGCTATTGCCCTTGTGCTTTGGAACCCAAGGGAAGTAGGCTTTCAAAATTTCAGATCGCTGCCATGTCTAGAACTTGAGATATGAAAAGTCGATTTCACGATTTTTTGACATTTAGGCTTAGGCTTAGGCTTAGGCTTTAAAACTGGCTTTACCTTGCCTTTTGTAAAACGAACTAAACTCTTCACGCACCTGCATCAAAAATGATCACATCCACTCCAATCATTGGATCGAAACCAAGCGAAAAATTGCAGTGAATCACTTTCTCGTAGTAGAAATATGAATGGAAATGTTGAAGTGATCCCCAGAAACAAATGATCAACTGAAGGACGCCAAACCAGAAACAAATTTGCGCGTTCAGGAAGCGATGACCGATGCACTGGAAGTGTGAAATTGTTTTTCAAATTTTCAAGTGAGAACATTTGGATCTTTAAATTTCTAAAGAAGAAATGTTTAGCTTAATGGCCTAGCTTTAATAAAGCTTGTTATAAGCCTTGTCTAGGCTTGTTATAAGGCTTGTTATAAGCCTAGATACTGGCCTTAATAGAGCTCTGGCAAAGCTGATGATGCTAATCAAGATCAAAATTCCAAAGCTTTATATTTTCATACCTTTCTTTGACCATTTGATAAACCAGCCAAGTTCAGTGGCTAGCTATGGCTTATAGAACTAGTGCTGCTACTGTAGAACTAGTGCTACTGTAGCTAACTAGCTAGCTAGCTAACTAACTAGCTAGCTAGCTAACTAACTAGCTAGCTAACTAACTAACTAACTAGCTACTGTAGAACTAGTGCTGCTTTAATGGCCTAACCATTCAATTTAATGATCTAACCATTCAATTTAATGGCTTAACCATTCAATTTAATGGCCTAACCATTCAATTTAATGACCTAGCTTTAAATCAAAATTGACTTAAAAGTAAGTGAAAGATTTAGTAATTAAGTCTATATTGTAGTTTGGACTTTGATTTTAACTTCTATTCAATTTTGACCTTGCATTTACCTTGGTCCATTCGTCCCGAACGGTGAAGAAACCCATGTGGGGGATGAATGGTGGCTAGAGCGCCACATTACTGACACCAAACAGCTCAATGTTTGCCCAATATCACAATATTGATTGTTGCAAAGAGATCTATAAAGATAAGCTTTTAAATAACAGATAATTTAAGATCTAAAAGATCTTAAGTTCTTAAAGATCTTAAAAATAAGAAATTATCCGTTTAAAAATATTCTTAAATAAAAATATCCAAATATTCACAAGATAACGTACTTTTAAATACAGAGAGACATTTTTTAAAAGCTTCTCTCGCAACAATAAGTTTAGCAACGCTTGTTTATATCCGAACAACCTAATAAAAGAAGCCCAGAAGAAAACAATTTTCTGATTTAGAAGGGGACAGCAGTGTTTTTGGTGATAGTGCTCTACTTTTGTGAGTTGATTTACGCCATCAAACAAGGAACAACAATAAATGTTGTAGGCTTTAAAGGAAATCTTTAAATATTATCAATTAATATTCAATGAAATCAATAATCAATGAAATGCATGCATGGAGATCTCGAAAAGGCCAATCAAGCCAACCAAGCCAATCAAGCCAATCAAGCCAACCAAGCCAACCAAGCCAACCAAGCCAACCAAGCCAACCAAGCCAACCAAGCCAACCAAGCCAACCAAGCCAACCAAGCCAATCAAACCAATCAAGCCAATCAAGCCAAATCGATGGCTAATCTGTTCACTGTAATTGAAACCAAAAAAGCAAAGACCAGATGGTTCAAAAGTTACGATAGAATCTCTCTTTGGTGTACTTTGTGTTCGGGTAATCTAAACGCACTCCTGACGCACTCTGACGCACTCTGACGCACTCTGACGCACTCTGACGCACTCTGACGCACTCTGACGCACTCCTGACGCACTCCTGACGCACTCCTGACGCACTCTGACGCACTAATTCCAAGTTCATTTTCCCGTGAAGCCAAGCGTTATTGCAAGAGATTTCAGTGCGCTAAAAAGGGATGCATTTGCATTCTTGAGCACAAAGTCCATTGCAAAGGCAATTCTGCTAAAGAACAACAAGAAAATCACCAAATCTACGACCAGAGAATCACTAAAAGTCAATTTTTTTTCAACAAAACCTATTTTATACACACTGCATCAAATCTTTTGATCACTGTTCACAAAGGAAATTTTAAAAAACGCAACGCTTGTTTATATCCGAACAACCTAATAGTAAAAACGAAGAAAAACCAAGTGACAATCGGTTGAAAAAGAAGAAAAGAAAAGAAGCAATTCTTGAAATTCCAAAAAGAAGTCCCATGAGAAAATTCTCGAGAATAGTTGTGACATTTTGAACATAAAAGAGAAAAGAGATAAAGAATAAAAAGGGGAAAAGTTCCGAAAAAAAAGGATAAAGAATTGAGTCGGCTTGTTGATCAAAATGAGGAAAAAGAGTTACTTTGTGCTTAAAAATATCTTGTTGATCAAAAGATCAAATACTTTATATTTGAATTACTGTCAACCACAGCTACAGTACGAAAGAAAGATTAAAAAGCTGAAAGTATTGTGATTTAAAGTTGTTAGATTTAAAGTTGTTGGATTTAAGGTTGTTGAATTTAAATAGCATGCTTTCTAAAGCCTGTCTCTTTTCTTGATTACTGTGGCCAAATTTTCCTTTCTCTAGTCAGTTTAGCTGCTGTTTGACTTAAGGATGCAAAATTCTTCGCAAAAATCCAGCAAAAATGTACCAGACGTCTTCTAGCTGAATAATAAAAGACTGGACAGAGCCAGGAGTCAGATTTTGCCTTCTCAATGATCAAAGAGTCAAAAAAAAAATGATCCTACAATTAACTAACAAAGCGTACAATCAACTAACAAAGCGTACAATTAACTAAAAAACTCAAGACAAAACCCAAGACAAATAAATATTGAAAATAAAGTAGTATTTAGTAGTAGTTTTTATCTACCTATCGAATAAATCTATCTATCAAATAAAATAGTATCTATCTTGTAGTCAAAAATTTAGTCAAAGTCTAGTCTATTTCTCTTCTTGTCGATGCAATGAATCGCTTCTCTCTGATTGAAAAAAAGCAAAAAAAGAAGGGTTTTCCCATTCCCATTCACTCCATTATGCAAATTGGAAGATAGCCAAGCTAGGTAATTTCCCAGGCAAATAGAAAAATTCATATTTAGGGTTTGAGTGCTGTAGTGGATTTTGGCGTACCTTGTGGGCTTTTGAAGCTCTGGCTTTTGAAGCTCTGGCTTTTGAAGCTCTGACTTTTAAAGCTCTGACTTTTAAAGCTTTAAAGCAACATCTTCTGGCTTCCAGAAGCCTTCGTTTTCCAAGAAAAACGAGGACCAGAAAACGTGTGTTTAGAGGGACACAAAGTACGCGAAACGAATCGAATTCTTTTCAATACACTCTATATAGAATAATTGAAAGGTTGAGGTTTGGGAACTGTTGATGGTGAAAACTGGTTTAAAATCGATAAAATTGGGGAAATGCACGAAGCATGAACGATCTTGCGAGCTTTCTGCTGATGTCCCATCCTGTTGAAAGCATCAAATCCTGTTTACAAAATGCTTTTTAGCCTATGGATCTGCTTAAGCGTATCCAAATAATTGGTCGCATTGACTTTGATTCCTTGTGAAACAAAAACAGAGTAATCTTTCCATCAGGTGATACCAGCCCAGACCATCAACGATTTGGGATAACCTGCTCGTGCCACAGATTCTGAATTTCGACAAATCAGGCCTCGCTAACGCCTCAAATTTGGGCTAAAAGACAAAAGCTACGCAACTTAACGCTTTTCTCAGATTTTGCCTTTTAGCCCAAATTTGATGTGCCAGCAAGGTCTGATTTGTCGAAATTCGGAATCTACGCATACGATTCCCTTATGTGAAAACATTTTTGAAGCTCTACGGCCTTTCTTAAGGCCTTTCCAAAGGCCTTTTTCAGCGAGTGTCTAGGTGCGCAAATGTCTAGGTGCGCAAATGTCTAGGTGCGCAAATGTCTAAGTGCGCAAATGTCTAGGTGCGCAAATGTCTAGGTGCGCAAATGTCTAAGTGCGCAAATGTCTAGGTGCGCAAAAAGAAGGTAGCATTTGTCCCACCGCTCCCCTCCCCCCATTGAACCGAAGCAAAATCAGTGAAGCAAAATCGTCCGAGACGAAAGTTGGTCTGAACAATCCCTGCATTTCTTTTTGCTCGTTGATGTAAGAAAATGGCTTTTGGAAAACTTATAAGCTTTCATTCTAAGGCGACTTTTGACTATAGACAATAGACCCATAGAAGTTCGAGAAATTCCCATATTCTTTGCCATCCTGGCCTGCGAATGAGTGGCTTTAAAGCGTAGCTGATCTCAAACCTTATTGATATTGACAACGGTGTGACAGCGGTCGCTTTACCACCACGGTAAAGCAACGGTAAAGCAACGGTAAAGCGATCGTTGTCACACCGTTGTCAATATCAAGAAGGTTCGAGATCAGCTACGTTTGAAAGCCACTCGTTCGCACTTCCGGGACGATCAGAATTCGTTCCTAACTCTTGAAAGCCGGGCTTTTATAAGAAGTAAAGCGTAAACAAGTTTTTTGTGTCTCATCAATCGCTTAGAGATATCTATCGTCAAAACGCGACGCTTGTGTAGGTCGATGATCGCATCTCGGTACATTCACTTCTTCGCGATTCTAAAAAGTGATATTTTTGAGAAAAAATAGCAAGTAAATGAATAAAATAATAAAATAAAATAGTTAAATAAATAAAATAAACCAAAAGAAAGACAAAAATAATAAATAAATTGTAAGCAAAAATCTGCAATATCAAAATAAAATATTCCTAGTTCTCGTAATCCTAGACGGAATATATTATATTTTTATATCTAACTTTTATACAATTTTTCATAATAAACACATTTTTTTGATATGAATTGACAGAGTGAAGAGTCAAGAAATGCAAAAAAAAGACAAAAAAAGCTCTTCCGGTTGTTGGTAGCTCCCTGGAGACTCACCCCAAAAACCAACCCATTCAAGTCCATTCTCGATGTTGAAAAAAAGAAAATAAAGAACTCAGTCCAACAGAAAGTTTGTGTATCAAAAAGTACGGTGCTTTACGGTTAACGGGAGGTGGTGGTCAAGCGATCATCGGTGAGGGGAGTCTTTGACCAACTTGCAACCCGATTTTATATAAGTTTATGTTAAAAACTTTTGATAAAACAAATAGTTTCTGAAAGCTGACGTTCTAAGCTATCTAAATCTTATTAAAACTTTCTGATCTGACAAGTTTAAGGTGCTTAAAAATGAGCTGCAAGTTGGCTAAAAAATTTGTCGGCCTTCCCCTCCCGATCATCGGTCGACGTCCCCCATAAAGATTCAAAATCTCTTGTCATAACCCTAATTTATGTGTTTTAATCAAGACTTTTCGTCTTTTGCACCTTATCGTACAAATTTCGGTTACACAAACAACAAATTCATCCCGTCATTTGTACATTTACTGTAACCCAACGGGTTACATGCAGGAGTTCAATAACGAGGCTCAATTCAACGAGGCTGAAATGGCTTAGAATGGGCTAAAATCGATCAAAATGAGCTAAAATGGACTAAAATGGATTAAAATTGGCTAAAATTGGACTAAAATGAGCTAAAATGGACTAAAATGAGCTAAAATGGACTAAATTGGACTAAAATCGACTAAAATGGCCTAAAATGGGCTAAAATAGATTAAAATGAAGTAAAATGGACTAAATTGGATTAAAATGGATTAAAATGGACTAAAATCGGCTAAAATCGGCCAAAATCGGCTAAAATGGATTAGAATAGCTCAAAATTAGCTAAAATGGACTAAAATGGCTTAGAATGGGCTAAAATGGATTAAAATGGGCTAAAATGGGCTAAAATGGACTAAATTGGACTAAAATGGATTAAAATGGAGTAAAATGGACTAAATTGGACTAAAATGGACTAAAATGAATTAAAATGGATTAAAATGGACTAAAATCGGCTAAAATCGGCTAAAATGGATTAGAATGGGCTAAAATGGCCTAAAATGGCCTAAAATGGGCTAAAATGGACTAAAATGGACTAAAATGGACTGAATTCAAACAAAATCGATCAAGATTTATCTGAAAAACGATGAAAACAAACAATTCAACTGATTTAACTCGGATTTAACACTGATTTTACAGGATTTCAATGAAAAAATTGAGGAAATGGGGAAAAAAACAATGAGGAAAAGAACAAAAGCTTAGCTTTAGAGCAAGATTGTGGGCAAAAAAAAGGTATTCAGACGAGAAAAAGCGAAATTATGAGCGAAACTCGTCCTTTTCCTCTTGTCATTTCACGTTTTTCTTACTTTGGAACTAGTTTTGGATGTAAATTGTAATGTAATTTGTAAAGTTGAATGTAAATCGCAGTGGTCATGGTCATTTTTGGGTCAAAAAGTACGCTAAAGGGTAAAACTTTTACAGAAATCCAATCAAAAAGTGATTTTGATAAAGAAAGGAGTAGAAATGATAAAAAGAATGATAAAAAATGATAAAAAAAAGAGATGAAAATGAGATAAAAATGAGTTCAAAATGTGATTTTTTAAGTAAAAGTCTAGCAATTCTTAGATTTCACCTGTTTCTTTTCTTTTTTTCTCTTTTTAGCTCAGCTTTTTCCTCGAATTTTGATCAATACAATTTCCTTAACCGAATTTCCGCCCGATCTCCCGAATCCGCTTCAAAAACAGAACAAATACTAGTAAGTAACTAGTAAGTAAAAGAATTTAAGCAAATAGGCTTTAGCAAATAAGCTTTAGCAAATAGGCTTTTAGATTTAAGCTTAATGAAGCTTAATGTGCAATAATTAATGTACTTTATACTTAAAATGCACCAGAATCCATGCGTTTACAAAAAAACGACTAAAGCTAACCATTTTGCAATTAAAGTAAACTGAAAAGATTGAAAAAAGAAAGATTAGTTTCCAGTAAAATCCATTTAGTCAAACAAAAAAAGCTAAAGATGGCACTTAGAAAAAAAAGGACAAAAAGGCTAGATATCTGATGGCTCGAGGGGAATGGAAGACTAGAAAAAGGAAAAGAAAAAGCGTTGATTAATTTCGGATGGCCTTGTCTTTGCCCCTTTTTTGTCATTCCTTTCTTTTTTTGATTGATGAGAGAAAAAACTATCAAACAAAGGATATGTTGCGAGAAATTGAGCCAAATATCTGGTATACTTTATGCTTGTAAACGTTACCGTTCTGGAGCGCTAGATTCTTCAAACCAACCCCGCCAATCGCTTCCCCGTCCTTGAAAACCCTGGGTACAAACTTTTGGTTTTATATCTCATCTGAGAAATGTTTACAGAACAAAAGAAATTCCTTGAAGGACGGTGAGATGTCCTTTGTGCGCGCACGTAATCGCTTGCCGTCTGGCGCAGGGCTTTTTCATAAGAGGGCCTTTTTCCTTTCTCGTCAGCTGTCTGTCCCACTCAACCGTCTTTTCCGGTCAATCGAGCCTTGGCCTCGGCACTCCCAACCCGTTTTCCATTTAGAATTGAATAATTTGCATGCAATACCGCGCTAATACCTGAAATATTCGGCCCCCAACTAAATGTCTATTAGGAATCTGGAGATATGCTTTAGAATTTTGTTTTTCTCTCTGTGCATATCTTATTGTCTTATTGACTATGCTTTATTTCATGTCTTCAATAAAGTATGAATATTATTTTTTATTTTATTTTATTTTCCATTTTTAATTACCCAAGTTTGAGGTTGTTGCGAGATACTGCAACTCTACTTCTACAGCTACCCATCTGAAGCGCCCCGAGAAGTATGCTGATGAGGAATCTCGTACGCCATCCTTACCACCCACTTCCGCCAATTGGACCAATGAAGCTGCGCCCGCTCTTCGAGGATGTTGATCTCGAGAAGAAACTCGGAAATGATTACCACCTGGTGATTGAGGGATTGCCTAAAGCTGACGTCCATCCCGCCATGACGCCGTATACTAGAAGAGCAGCAGATCGTCACCTTTTGGATGCGATTTTGGCTTCGTATGGCCTTTTGGATGCAATGGTGGTCCAATCATCTAGGATGGGTATCTTCTCTCCGTTTCAATCTAGGCCTCTGAAGGTGATTTTTGGCTCTACACACGGCTCTTCCACCGCATATTAGTGATATTTCAAATTTAAACACTTTTAAGAAAGCATTACTTTCTATCAAACTTGTAAACTAAATTGAGCATTTACGTTCATCATTACATTTTGAATCGATAGAAATTGAAAATTTATTAAAAGTTGATCCCATGTTATATCGTGGTTTTTAGAATTTTATTTTTCTCTCTGTGCATATCTTATTGTCTTATTGACTACGCTTTATTTCATGTCTTCAAAAAAGTATGAATATTATTTTCAGGTATAAACATAGATTGAAACTTTTCTCACTTGAAACCTTAGAACAACGCCGTCTTATCATAGATTTGGTTGAGTGCTTTAAAATTGTAAAAGGAAAACATCAGAACCCTCTTTTTAAAAATCTTTTTCGACTAAACTCGAGGCTTTTGGCGACTAGGCGTGGCTCTTTTATCTTGCATCCCGAAACTGCTTGTTCTAAATTCTCTAGAGCTTTTTTCGTAAATCGTGTGACTAAAGTTTGGAATGCCCTTCCCGACAAGTTGCGTTTGATCTCCACCGTGTCTGATTTTAAAAGGGCTATTTCGTTGCATTTTAAGTGACTTTGTGATCTTTTATCTAGTACATTTTTCATGTCGTTTTCGCACTTTATTTCTTTCTGAATTTTTCTGATGAATCTTTCTTTATTTATTTAATTTTTTTATTTAATTTTATTTTATTTTCTATTTTCTATTTGATTTTCCATTTTATTTTCTATTTTATTTTCTATTTTATTTTATTTTCTATTTTATTTTCTATTTTATTTTTTATTTTATTTTCTTTCCTATTTTATTTTCTTTTCTATTTTCTATTTCTATTTTATTTTATTTTCTATTTTCTATTTCTATTTTATTTTATTTTTCCTCAAATGTTTATGCATTTTTTTGATCTTCAAACAAATATTCCGAGGCTTTATTTGCCGAAACAAAATTTCTCAATCAAAAATATTAAACTCAAGCAAGAAAAAAAATAACCCACAAAAGTTTTTAAAAGCGTTTTCTTTGCAAAAAACAAAACAAAACAAAATTAGGCGATAAAATCGAAGTTTTCTTAACAAAACAAAAAAAAAATGGGAAAGACTTTTCGGCGATTAAAAATATAATAACTTGATCAATTCTTACTTAAAATTTTTCAAACTTTAAGCAAATTTTGTGGAGTTTTTGAGTGTTTTTAGCGTAAGGCTTAAACGCAAGGCTGGCGGGCTGGCTGGCGCAGGATCTGGCGCATGATTTGAGCAAAATTTGCTATAGAGAATGTGCGTTTACATCGAAAAACCCAAAATCTGTTTTTGCTTTTCCGCGTTCTCTTTTGTCCTTTTGCGCGTTCTCATGTAAACACACGGGACCTAGCGCAGTGAACTTTAAATCCTCATGTGCCAGATGGCAAGCGTTTACAAGAAAACTGTCCTAGCCAACTTTGCCACCTAGCCAACTTCTTTGCGACCTAGCCAACTTCTTTGCGACCTAGCCAACTTCTTTGCGACCTAGCCAACTTCTTTGCCACCTAGCCAACTTTGCCACCTAGCCAACTTTGCCACCTAGCCAACTTTGCGCCACTGAAATCCTCCAATGCCACTGAAACGCCCGGCGCCCATCGCACTGAAACACTCATTTTCGCGTGCGCCAAATTGGGTACGTTTTCACCAAAAAAACTCCACTAAAAGCATAATACTCTTACAAGAGCTTTTTTAATTGAAAAAAATAACAAATAGATATAGAAATTCATAAACAGAATCCTATCAACAAGCAAAAAAAAAGCAAAGAAAAGCAAAAACAAAGGAAAAACCTGATCAATTTCTACAGTAAGTCAAAATTCGAGAAGAAAAATTGCATTTGGCAAAGCAAATAAAACAAAAAAACTCAAAAATTCTAAAATGAGCATTTTTTTTCAATGTAAGGAGAGTGAATTTGGCGGAAAAATTGGGAAAATCGAAAAATTAAAAATTATGCGAATTTTTTTTGGAGATTGAGACATTGAGATTTGCAGGGAAATAGCTGATCTAGAGCACTGGATTTCGATTTTTTTTTACGGCAAACAAGAGAAAGCAAAGCATTCAGTGCACTAGAAAGACTACGTTTACCAGAGCGCAAAGTACAGAAAAACAAGTTCAAGAAGAAAGTTGAAAAATTCGTGCACAGAGATTATGCAATATAAGAGATATTCGATTACTCGTGGGTTTAAAAAAAGAAAAAGAAACAAATTTTAGAAAGGAATTGAACCAGAGGGCGAAGTTGAGACTAAACTTGTAACGAAAATATCTGTTGGTCCTTTTTTGTCGTTGACCGTTGGTTTTTCATGTTTTTCTCAGCACCAATCCTTCGATTTTGACTATTTTGACTACCATTCGATGCAGAATGAAATTGCGCGTCGAATGATGCCAAAAACAACTCAAAATATAATATCCACGTAAAGTTATTGACTAAAAACCTAAACCCGCCCAATATTAGCCCTTTGCGGTTGACAATTTGAGGTTTTTTGTGTATTTCTTAGCAGCAATCCTTCGATTTTGAGTATCATTCGATGCAGAAGAAGATTGCGCGTCGAATGATACCAAAAACAACTCAAAATGTAATCTCTATGCAAAGTTATGAGGCAAAAAGTTAAGTCGCGTCCATAATGGGTGGGGTTTAGGTTTTTGGTCAATAACTTTACGTGGATCATATATCTTGAGTTGTTTTTGGTATCATTCGATGCCCAATTTTCTTCGCCATCGAATGATAGTCAAAATTGAAAGGCTGCTGCTGAGAGAAACCTCAAATTGTCAACGAAAAAAGTGCCGACAGATGTTTTCGTTACAAATTTAGTTGAGACTTGAAGGCTTCGGTTCAATTGCATCTTTGTCCCTTCTCCGAATTCTTTTTTCATTCAACTTTCTCCATTTTGAGCAATTGTTGATGAAGAGTGCTTTGATAGATTTGTGAGAGAATTTGTTCCTGACTGGCCAATGAAACGGGTAATTGGGTGTTTTGTTGAGAGGCAAGGGTTGAGGGAACGGTGACAGCCGTCGCTGGGGTTCCGTCAGCTTCTAGAAGAGAGATATTTGAGATAGAATTGAAATTTGAAAGGATATATTGAATAATCACATCTTAGTTTCCGCATTCTCTCTAATAGTAGAGCCTGAGCCTGAGCGTCGCCTAAATTGCTCGAAATCTCGAGAACGGTTTATCAGAACCTATCGGTGTGGGGTCGGAAAATGTAGCTGACGATGAGATCTAGTGGGGGATTAGAGTGTTGAGCTTCTGGGAAAAGCTTGGAAACCGTAAAATAGTCATCAACTCGGCTCGACGGGGTGCACTACTATTAGAGAAAATACGGTAACTTGAATCCGGGCCTGGCTTCCAGATCAGGGCATTAGATATCGTAAGTAGGGCTTAGCTCTTCATTTTGATAAGTCTAGCTTGGATTTAATTGATTTATACTTTTAGATAGATTTTTAGATAGATTTTTAGATCGACTTTTAGATTTTTCATATATCTAAATCTCACCGGTGACAACGTTGAACGGGAAACCAAGCAGTTGAGAGGCAAGTGAGGAGATTGTTGTGACTGGGGTGATCTCTATCTCACCTCCAGCTCCAATATTTCCACCAATCGGTAAAGGAAGACCGACGCTCGGGAACTGAAGTCAGATAATTGATGCAAAGCCAGATAATGATGCAAAGTCAATAACTAGATATTAAGATTATCATTTCTTACCTGGAAACCCAATCTAGCCGCCAAGGAGGCGATATCGAAGGTAATATTTCGATCAGAGTCGGCTGAGTTCTCATCAGGTAATGGGGACGGAGTGGAGCCCATGTCAGAGCAGCTCTGGAATAAAGTTTATAAAAATTAAAAAAAAATAATAAAATAAAAGGTTATGTCAAGAGATTTTAACGGTCTAATCTCACCTTGAGCCTTAGATTCATGTTAGAAAGTTTAACTCGTAACTAACAAGTCTATCTAACTAGTCTAACTAGTCTAACTAACTAGTCTAACTAGTCTAACGAACTAGTCTATCTAACTAGTCTAACTAGTCTAACTAACTAGTCTAACTAGTCTAACTAACTAGTCTAGCTAACTAGTGCCTTTCCCTGAAGCTCTCTACTGTAACTTCAAGCTAATTCTAGAACCAGACATTGTTCTTAACCTTAAGCTTTAACAACTTAAAATGTATTTAGAGAATTGTACTTAGAGATGCATTCTTTAGCTTTGGAATAGAATCGATTTACCGGAGATCCGTGTCGATTTGCGCTGTCGGTTTGTTGTTGCGAGTGAAGAGAGAAATTGGGCAAAAGGGGCATAGCGCCTGGAGTCGTTGGGGTGACTGGTGGGAACTGAAGATAAAAATTAAGAAAGTACTGTACAAGGGTTCTTTCAAAATCCAGCTAGGGCTAAGCTAAAGCCAAGTCAGTCAGAGCTAAGCTAAAACCAGATCCAAGTCTGGTAAAAGCTAGGTCCTAGCTCTGCTAAAAATGTGACTAGACCGGAAAAAGCCTGGTCTTGGCTAGGCTATCCTGGACCTAACTTCCAGACTGGCCTTGTCTTTGTTTTGGCTTACAATTCTTGTTTTGGCTTTCTGGCTTCAGCCCTGGCCCACAAAAAAACAAAAAACTAAGCTCGCCAAAGCCAAAGGATCTAGCCTTCGGCCAACCCGCCTTGGCCTTGGCCCAATTCTGTATCATTTCCAAGATTTACCTGCAATCCCCCTGGATGTGTCTGTTGTGCTTCCTCATTGCTTTTCCTTCTCAACTCTTTTCGTTTATTCGCAAACCAATTCGCAACCACTTGCGGCGAAACGACCTCTTTTGGCATTAAACCAACGCCTGAAAGCAAAATTTCTCTCATCTTAGCATTAGATTTTTTGCTTTTGTAGATTCAAATTTTGCTACAGTCGACTCTCTCTATAAAGGAAAGCTCTATATAACGGAGCTCTATCTAACGGAAAGCTCTGTATAACGGAGCTCTATCTAACGGAAAGCTCTCTATAACGGAACTCTATCTAACGGAAAGCTCTGTATAACGGAGCTCTATCTAACGGAAAGCTCTCTATAACGGAACTCTATCTAACGGAAAGCTCTGTATAACGGAGCTCTATCTAACGGAAAGCTCTCTATAACGGAACTCTATCTAACGGAAAGCTCTGTATAACGGAGCTCTATCTAACGGAAAGCTCTACATAACGAAAAGCTCTATCTAACGGAAAGCTCTATATAACGGAAAGCTCTCTATAACGGAGCTCTATACAATGGTGAAGAATCGGTGAACCAGAAAGAGCCAGAAAGAACTAGAAAGAGCCAGAAAACGTACGACTACATTTTTCGAGTAAAAACTACAAAACAAGAACCTTTTGTGAGCTTTTTTTTGCAATTTAGTATGATTTTCTTTTTACACTAAATATCGATTTATTTAAAAATCCCTCTGTAGATCCCTTTAAAATCCCTCTGTCTAAATCTACCGTAATCGTATCTTAAACTTTTCTTAGAATTCCCTTTTCTGAAACGATAAACCAGCCAATCCCGTCGATTCAAATCCGATAAACCAGCTTCAAATCAACGACTATAATCCACTAAGATGTCAGTAAATTTGAAAATTGCAAAAAAAATGATGAAAAGATTTTCAAAATCATTGGATTACCGTAATTTTTAAATAAAAAGGCAAAAAAAGCAGCCCTTTTGAGGCAAAAAAGGTATAGTTTGGTCACGTGGGTTTCAAGAACTAAGAATCTAGGTTTAAGCTTGAGTCTTGGATCCAGCTTGAGTCTTGGATTCAGCTTGAGCCTTGGGTTCAGCTTGAGTCTTGGATCCAGCTTGAGTCTTGGATCCAGCTTGAGTCTTGGATCCAGCTTGAGTCTTGGATCCAGCTTGAACCTTGGATCCAGCTTGAGTCTTGGATCCAGGGTGTACTTGGGTTGACACTTAAGAAGGCTTTCTTCTTATCGAACACCACTATCTTCAATTCAAGCATTCACCACTATCAAGCTTCAGGTTACCGTATTTCTTCGAATAGAAGACCGGGTAAAGAGTATCATCGCGTACTCCTGCGTAGCAGCCCTTTTTAAAATTTCTTTTCTGCATAAAAGCTTTCAATCAAGTGCTATAGGGCTGGAAAATGACTCAAAAATACCACATGAGCTAACAGATTTTTGAGCCATTTTTCAGCTCTATAGCACTTGATTGAAAGCTTTTATGCAAAAAAGAAATTTTAAAAAGGGCTGCTACGCAGGAGTACGCGATGATACTCTTTACCCGGTCTTCTATTGGAAGAAATACGGTAAGTTACTTTAAATGATTTTGGCCTGAATACAGGCTCTTGCTTGCTGCATTCGTTTGCTTTTTTTTTGTTCATTTCTGGATCCAACCAGATCCACTAACAATGCGAAATCCAACTCTAAACCCAATTCCAAACCTTTCTTATCCATTTGCAGGGCGTGATTGCACGCAGTGGCGATCTCGATTCGACGATTCAAATCGGGAAACGGGGTTTGCGCAAAGAATTGCTCCAACATTCTAAAATAAACCAAATAGGAACTATAAAGGAACTATAATGGAACTATAATGGAACTTTAAAGGAACCAAATGGGAACTATAAAGGAACTATAAAGGAACTTTAAAGGAACTATAAAGGAACCAAATGGGAACTATAAAGGAACTATAAAGGAACTATAAAGGAACCAAATAGGAACTAGAAAGGAACTATAAAGGAACTTTAAAGGAACCAAATGGGAACTATAAAGGAACTATAAAGGAACTTTAAAGGAACTTTAAAGGAACCAAATGGGAACTATAAAGGAACTATAAAGGAACTATAAAGGAACCAAATAGGAACTAGAAAGGAACTATAAAGGAACTTTAAAGGAACCAAATGGGAACTATAAAGGAACTATAAAGGAACTTTAAAGGAACCAAATAACAACTATAAAGGAACTCACATCCATTTCATGGATGTCATTGATATATTCATTTTGATCAAAATACCTGATCAAAATCGGGCGAAACACGTATCGTTCTCTTCTTTGCGGCACCAGTTCCCCGTCTCCATTCGTCTCCAAGCGAGTGGCCGGATCGGCAAGAAATGCAGCTGAAAATGAGTCTAGTTTAATGAAATTCCCATATTTTCAAATAAAATAAGCATTTCCCCATTTCAAAAAACCTTTTGCCTCAAGAAAAGTTCGGTCTTTTCCCCCAAAATTTCTCCGAACAAAGCCCAAAGACAAGTGTTCTCTTTCTTTTCAGTAAAGGACATGGATCAGGCCATAAATTTTGTACTTTTTTTTGTTCGTTTCACGATTTTTCCCTATTCTGCTAACTAGTGCCAGCCAAAGTGCAAATCGAGGTCAGCCTTGCCTCAAAAACGACAGAATTTAACACAAAGACTCAAACAGAACAACATTTCCCCTTTTTTCTCCATTTTCTCACAATGACGCTTCAGGCTTAGGCTCAGGCTTGGGCTCAGGCTTGGGCTCAGGCTTAGGCTCAGGCTTGGGCTCAGGCTTGGGCTCAGGCTTGGGCTTAGGCTTAGGCTTGGGCTTAGGCTTGGGCTTAGGATCATTTTCCAAAAAAATTGGTTATTAAAATGATAACTGAAACTAATAGTAAGGCTGAGGAGCCTGGAGTACTGTCAATTTAGTCTGTCGCCCTGTTGGGCTCTCACTACCTTAATCCAGTCGAGTAAAAGGCTGGCGAACTGGATTACTATGTAAACCTCAATGTATATTGAAGCAAACTATCGGCCTACCGTAATCATTTAAGGAGCTAGCATTCACTAGGAAACCTATAGGCAGCAAGTTTTCGAAAGTTTTCCAAAAATAGCAAGAAATTTGGCAGCAAGGGGATTGAACCCGCGAGCAAAGATGGGGTAGGGTTTCGAGTCTAGCACACTATCCCCTAGACCACCACTGCTTTGGGTGTCGCTCGGCGTGACCTCGTTTTATAGGTGAGGTCGCCATTGAACAAGATCGAAAGCCGAGTTGAGGCGAGTAAAAAGCCGAGTTTAGCGAGACGCTTTCATGGGGGTATGCCCTAGTGGGTAGGAGCCTTGTATCTTGGTCGGAAGGTCGAGGGTTCAATCCCGCTCATCGGCTATATCATTGTTTTCGGCTAGGTCAATCTTTTTTTGTTAGATATATGAGTAAATAAAGAAATGCGTTTTTTAGAATTCTACGGAGGTCTTTAGCTAGATCCGGTTTCAAAAATCGGTGAAAATTTGAGTCAGAGTCAGAATTCTTAGTGACAACTTTCCCTAGTCAGATTTGTCAGGTTATCAAACTTTCTATAGATCTCAAGCTTGGGTTTTTGAAGCTAAAAATTTGAAATTTCATTCTATAAAGATAGAAAAATCGAGCATTTTCTCTCAATCCCCAGTTTCTTCAAGAATTTCCTCTATTTTTCATTTTTTATAGCTATTCCAAGCTAATCATAGTTCAATAAAGCAAAAAAAGCAAAAAAAGGCAAAAAAGCTTTTGATTAATCAAATTTTAATTAAAGCTTTTGATTAATCAAGAATTTTGACATCCAAAATTTTGATCTAATGATTAATTTCAAGGTTTTGAAGTCTTGAAAATCCCTATTCTTGAAAATTTTCTCGAAATCGAAAGAAAAATCGAAAAATTCAACACGTTTCACACGCCCTATTCAAAAATGCATTTTTTTTTTTCGTCGGTGAGTGTGAGTAGATTTCAGCCAAATTTCAGCCAAATTTCCGTCAAATTTCAGTCAAAAAAAAAGAGAAAAGAATGAATAAATTGTTTGAATTGAGAAAATTGAGAAATTGAGAAAATCTCTCTGTTTTCTTTGAGTCTAATTGATTATGCATTGTCGAAAAGTGAATTCAAAAAGGGAATTCAAAAAGGGAATTCAAAATGGTGAATGAGATTTGTGAATGAGATTTCTTTTTGTTTTTTTTGATTCGAAAGAAATTCAGAGGTGAAAGTGAGTGTAGAATTGAGAAGTTTTGAAGAAAAACTTTTCATTTTAAAGAAAAGCTTTTCATTTTAAAGAAAAACTTTGATTTCAATGAAAAAAATGTAAACGATCGTTTCTGGAGCACTGAATTCTTTCTTATTTCTTTTGCTTTTTTGGTTGTCGTGTTTCTTTTTGAGAAAAACAAATTTCTACGCCGAAAGGATGCGTTTACGGTGAATGAGATGGAAGAAATTAGTTAGAAAATTAGAAAAAACAAAAGTACAGAAGAAATTTGGCTATTTATAAACAAATCACACACACTTTTCAGCTAAAATCTCAGCTTCAGCTAAATTTCAGAGTCTTAAAAGTTCAAAAGCTCAGTTCTTACTGTTCTTGTTTAAATTGTTGAGTTTTGAGCTTGGAGTTCTGAGCTTGGAGTTCTCAGCAGTTCAGTTCAAAAGCTCAGTTCTTACTGTTCTTGGTAAAATTGTTGAGCTTGGAGCCTGAGCCTAAGCTTTTGAGCTTGGAGTTTTGAGTTTTGAGTGTTGAGCTTGGAGTTTTGAGCTTGGAGTTTTGAGCTTGGAGTTCTCAGCTTTTCTTTTTGGGTTTTGAGTTTTAAGTTTTGAAAAACCCTCTAACCCCTGACCGTTCGTTTTTCGATTGGAATCTCGATTCCAATTCCCTTTTTCACTAAGAAAGATCACAGTAAAGTGGCAGCTGTTTTAAAGCACAAGGCGAACGTTTTTTTTTATTTGCTTCCTTTTTTCTATGGGTAATTATCCCTCACCCCTAGACGATGATTTGAGTTCTTTTTCCTTGAAAAACTCCCCATAAAACTTGGTTTTTCTCTAGAGAATCACTTTTTATCACTTTTTAGAGATTTTTGGAAACACTAAAAAAATTCAAACCTACAAGATCGTTAAATGAATGCGGTAGGGAGAAAGTTCGGCAAGTTGAAATGGATTCCCATTTTTTATGACTCATTTATTGCCCAAGATAAAGTACTGAATCAATGCTAAAAGTGTAAGGATAAACAAGCAAAAACTCAAGCCAGGGGTCGAACCCTGGATCGAACTTTGGCGAGGAGGACCCTTTTGTTCTGAGGAGCGAGTGCACTAGCCACTGAGCCATGCAAGTCAAGCGGTCCGTCGACAGAAAGCCCATACAAAGCCCCCTCCACAAATCTAAGCTTTTTCAAAATTCGGTTCATTTACCCAGTTATCAATCTAAGGATCAAAAAGCAATACAAATGCAGCCCCCGGAACCGAACCCGAGTAGTTGAGGGAACGGAAACGCGGACGAGAGCGAGCGCACTAGCCACTGAGCCATGCAAGCCAAGCTGTCCGTCGACAGAAAAACCATACAAAGCCCCCTCCCCAAATCTAAGCTTTTTCAAAATTCGGTTCATTTACCCAACCCTTCATTCCTAGAAACACAAAAAATGCTTTTTTATCTTCAAAAATATCTATAGAAGGTCATTCTCTGCAAAAAGTTAAAAAGTTTTGAAAAACTATTAGATATTAGAGAAAAATCATCTCCCTTGACTGAAATATTGAGATGATTGTTCAAGGACAAGAAAATTCGATAAAGAAAAGTCTCTTTTAGATGAAATGAAGAAAAATTATGAATAGAAATGGATGAATTCAAGAATTTTGGATGAAAGAACAAGAGTTTTTTTTTTTTTACAATAGTACTCACCAAGTTTCTCGGGATGTCGTCGACAATTGAGATACCATGAGTAGATATTCTTTCTGCAGCGTAATGAGAGCTCTCGATGATTCCCATTTAACAGCTTTGAGATGTACGGTTGCGAGACACCTGGAAAGTTACAATTGAGTGCGCCAGAAAAGAGTGTGTTTCTAGATTTGAGCAAAAACATCGGGCAAAGATCCTTTGGATTTAGGATCCTTCAGAAAGAGTAGCACAGAAAACCCCAGTGAGAGGAGAGAAAACCCCTTGAAAAGCGACCAGATCAGTCTGTCCTCATGGTGTATTGCCAGAGCGTCGGCCTCTCAATCCGCCTCTGGCTCAGGGGTCCCGGGTTCGACCCCGCTTGCAGTCTTTTTGACTAACCAAATAATGACTAACGAAAGTCATTGTTTGGTAGTACAGAAAATCCCAGTGAGAGGAGAGAAAACCCCTTGAAAAGCGGTGGGATAAATCTCTCCTCATGGTGTATTGCCAGAGCGTCAATCCGCGTCTGACTTAGGGATCACGGGTTCGACCCCGCTCGCAGTTTTTTTTTCATTGTCACTCTTTTTTGGTCCTTATTTCTCAAATAAAGAACTCTAGTTGAACTTTATAAGACTTTGGATCTTGTTTAAGTAGAATTGGATACTGTTTAAGCTCTTTGTTGTTTAAGTTCTTTGTTGTTTAAGTTCTTTGTTGTTTAAGTTCTTTGTTGTTTGAGTTGCTTGAGTAGAATTTAGATGTTGTTTTGTAAAGACTTCATAACTTTATAGCTATAACCTTTAGCCAATCCTGTAGCCTTTAGCCAATCCTGATTTGAGCCTTTAGGCAATGATTTTACGATCCCGTTCCCTAAGCGAACGTTTCCCGAAAAAAAAACCAGTGCCAAATCTCATCCAAAATCTTCGGATCTCTTTTTTCTGTGTTCAGCAAAAGTTCGATGATTCTTTTTTCTAAAAGCTTTTGAATGAACGGAAAGATTTGGATTAAGATAAACTTTTTTTTTCGAATAGCTGTGAGTGACCTATTTATGCGTTTTGGGGGAAATTTGGAGGGGAAATGATTGGAAAATGATTGAAAAATGATTGAAAAGATTGCCGAGCTAAGTCAAAGAAGTCAAAATCTAACTTTTAAGGCTTTTAAGGCGTCAAGATTTAACTTTTAACCCTAAAAAGCTTTTGCTTTTGATAAATTTGATAAAAAAATGAAATCAATCAATCTTTTAGACTTAGCATGGTTACTGTAATTCACCCAAAAGAAAAAATAGGAAAAGAAAAGTGGGCGGAGCACATAAAATAGCATGGTTGAGGGGATTGGAGATCGTAATCAGGGAAAAAGATCTCAAGTAGAGAAAGAGATGAAAGGGAAGAAGATTTTGAAGGTTCTAGATTCTAGATTCTGGTTTCTGGATTCTAGATTCTGGATTCTAGATTCTAGATTCTGGATTCTAGATTCTAGATTCTAGATTCTAGATTCTGGTTTCTAGATTCTAGATTCTAGATTCTGGATTCTAGATTCTAGATTCTAGATTCTAGATTCTAGATTCTAGATTCTAGATTCTGGATTCTGGATTCTATTTGACTTCTAGAATTCTTTATCTAAAGAATCTAGTGAATCTCTTTGCTTGACTTAGCTCTTGATAAGAAGAGAAAACTGTTGAAATAGGTCTTTTCAAATAGCTCTACTTTTCAAATAGCCAAACAATCGATCAAAATCTATAGAAACTTTTGACACTTTGGAGCGAATCGTCATCGTGAAATTCCCTTTACCGATGAAAAGTAGTTTGGCCATCAAATGACCATCAGCAAACTCATAACCATCAAAACGATTGGACTTGATCAGAGGACGAACTCCCGCTTGATTAGCCTGCTATCTCACAGCAACAGAAACCTCAACAAGTCAATCTTGCAGTCCAAGGTTTGTTGCAAGCCTCACACATCAATTCAGTCTTTGAAGAAGGATTTGGAGCTTGGGAAAGAAAGCTTGGGACGACATTGGTCATCAAATATTCGCTTCGTTCTCTTCTCCGTACTCCACTCGTTCACAGAGCCAACAACAGCAACAGCAGCAATAACAACAACAGCAACAACAGCAACAACAACAACAGCAACAGCAACCACAGCAGCAACAACAGCAATAATAGCAGCAATAACAGCAACAACAGCAGCAACAACAACAACAGCAACAACAGCAACAGCAACAACAACAACAGCAACAACAACAGCAGCAACAGCAACAGCAACAACAACAACAGTCAGCTAATCCTTGCAATTCTTTTCCAAACTACTTTAGCCAATCTGTCACACAATCTATTACAAAGTCATGTATTAGATATCCAATATATTTAAAAATCATTGTATAGCTTACCAAAATCTTCTCTTATCCGTTTCACTCCACTTCTTCACCCCATTCCGTCTCAAAAGCCGTTTTCGCAACGCTTTCCCCACTTTTTCCCCTATTTATCCCCGATCGACCGATTTTGATCGTATTTTTCACTTTTCCCAAAGCCAAACAGCCGTTCAGGGTCAATCCTATAAGGTGATGAATAGTGGGAGGATTCAGAGTACTGTAGATATAGAAAAGATAGAAAAGATAGATAGATAGATATATAAAAGATAGATAGATAGATATATAAAAGATAGATAGATAGATAATGATAGATAGATATATTGGGTTGTCCAGTTATGAATGTGCGTTTTTACTATTTTGTAAATTTCTCAAGACATCGAACAGATGTACATGAGTGTTAAATATCATTCGAAAGCTGAAGATCTCCTCTACATTTTGGAATAAAAAAGTTTTTGAATTCATTCAACTTTTTTGGGAAATTGACTGCACAAAGGGAGAGGTCATTTTCGAAAAAAAAATATTCCAGCTTAGCCAATTCCTCAAATTTTATGGTGTAAAATAACCACCCAGAAAAGAAAAGATGCTCTGAAATTGTTATATTTTAAAAAAAGTTGTATTGATATATCTATTAGCCAAACATCAAACGGTTAACTCAATTTGAGCGGAGCCAAAACTTGATCCAAAGGCACCGAGAGCTGGCTCTGAGTCCTGAGAGCTGGCTCTAAGTCCTGAGAGCTGGCTCTGAGTCCTGAGAGCTGGCTCTGAGTCCTGAGAGCTGGCTCTAAGTCCTGAGAGCTGGCTCTGAGTCCTGAGAGCCAAAACTTGATCCATTTTTTGGCCACCTCTTCTTCTATGCCATCAATTTGCCCAAAAGCTGAACAAATTCCAAAACTTTTTATATCAAAATGTAGAGAAGATCTTCAGCTTTCGAATAATACTCATATATATCTTTTTCTTGATTTCGGTATCTTGAGAAATTTACAAAATAGTAAAAAACGCGCATTCATAACTGGACAACCCAATATAAATGATAGATAAATATATAAAAGATAGATAAATATATAGAAAGAGATCAAAAAACATAATCCAGACAAGTATAAACATATTTTTCTAGTTTTAATTGTACCTGTCATCATTGCCACGGTCGTTTGCCTTAGAGAAAACTGTGTGATGAACTGTTTCATGTCGTTGATGCAACCTTCTTCACCCTGGAATTTGTTTATTTTTAATTTTTTAAACGATAACTAAATAATATCTTTTTCTAAAGCTTATCTACCTTATCTATAACATTCTATTATCTTACTTGTCTCATAAAATCGTCGAGCTCAGTGGGATCATCGAGTGTTGTGATTTCTCTCATTGGCGTGCGGAGGCTTCGAATCGGTCGACAGCCGCCACTAGAATACGAATTTTGCTATGATTGCTATGTCCAATTTAAACATTCTTGCTATCATTAGATGTGCCAAGTCTTTCTCTATCGATTGGTACAAAAACCATTGCAATTGGTCAACCCAACACCAAGAAATTTTAGCTCAAAGTTAGTCCAGTTTTTTTGCTTGGAAAATTTTTTCTGGCTACGCTACAAGCCTAATCCCGGCCTCCCTTCGTCCTCTTTCAATAAAAACACACCTGGATGGTGATTCATAAGAAAATAATGGAGATTCGGATGCTGTAGAGGCTAAGGGAACAGTTTGGATGGAAACAGGTCGATCGGGGCTGGCTGGAGCGCAGATCACAGGCGAGGTGGCCGAAATCGTCAAGGCGACTGGGTTCTGAAACTCGAGTTGTTATTTTTGCTTGATGTTTTTGAAAACTTGGCTCTTTTCTAATGAAAAACTCTCAAAACAAGGCTTTTCACAAGCTTTCAAAAGTGATTTGAAAGAGTTTAGGTTATCTAATGAAAGACTATTTTATTTCGTAGAGACTTATTCAATTAGAGGCTTTCGTTGAAAGACTTAACACTCAATCTAATATAGGCATTCAATTAGAGGATGAATTTCGTTGAAAGACTTAGCACTCAAGCTAATATAGGCACTTTATTCAGGACCTGAAATAAAGTGCGCTAGTTTTAAGAGAAATACACATGAATTCATCCACATAACACGAAAAGGGCCTTAAAAAGATACTGCCTTAAAAAGCAACACGATATAATATATATACTGGAACACGATGTAATATATGGGTAGCACAGATAATGTCAAGAATTCACTAGAGCTTCAAGATCAAGATCATCTACAGATAATTGAAAGGTTTTGAGATTATTGGACTCTCTCAAAACGCTGGGGAATCGATTCCAAATTCTGGTGGTTTTTATTGGAAAAGTTATTGAACTTATTGAACACAAAAACTTATTGAAAGTGACTGGAATTTCTAAAACGAAAGAACCTCTCCTTGAACTAACCGTGAGACGAACTAACTTTGAATAAAATCTAATACATAAAACTGGATAAAACTTATTAAATACTAGACTTTAGACCTTATTGAATACTAGATTTTAGACCTTATTAATTACTAGACTTTAGATCTTATTGAATACTAGACTTTAGACCTTATTGAATACTAGACTAAATACTAGACTAAATACTAGACTAAATATTAGATTAGATATTAGATTAGATAATAGATAGATGAAATACTAGACTTACTAGACTTATTAGATTCAAGATTCAAACCTGTGCCCTCAGCGCTTGCAACAAGATTGGGCTCCTTGCTGGGGTTGTGTCACCGAGTGGTGGTTGATTGAATGACAACGATGCTGGAGTGGATGTTGGAGTTGATGCACCGGGTGATGGATCCAGTATAACTTGTGATTGCATTGATGTGGGCACGGATTGTGGCTGGGTGATGAGTGCTGCGAGAGCAGCCGACTGTTGCTTGGCCGCCTCGAGTTCGCGTTCGATCTCGTCCAGGGTGCGGAAGGCCTGGAATCGGGATAATTAGGAAAAAAGTAGGATTTTCGATATATACCATAGGGGATCCATAGAGGATTTCCCATAAGCTGCTATAGGGGGATTCTATAGAAGTATTTACGGTTAAATAATGCGTGCGATGCTTTAGGCGCGATGAAAACGACGATTTCTTTGGAGAGAAAGAGAGAAACCTTGATGGGAAGTTGATGGGAAATCAATCTCTTAATTGGCCGACTTCCCTATGAAATGATTTAAACGATTTACAAACAAAAACGAAGATTTTAAAGGGAATGGGACGATGGGACGATGCAATTGGTCAACCCAACACCAAGAAATGATGGGACGATGCAATTGGACAACCCAACACCAAGAAATTTGAGCTCAAAGTTGGATTGCCAATGGCAAAGAGGGCGGAGCGCCTTTTATACTCGCCCCGCCCCTTTGCCATTGGCAATCTAACTTTGAGCTCAAATATCTTGGTGTTGGAATATCCAATTTCAATGTTCTTGGTATCATTAAATGCGCCAAGTCTTGTGCATAACATAGAATCGGCAATGGCAAACAAAACGCCGCAAAAATTAGCCGATAATAGCCGCGGAAACGAGAGGAATCTGGGATGCGAAATCTGAGTTCAAAACTGATTCCTTTATAAGGCTTCCTCTCTACTGATTCCTCTCTCGCTGCCGGGCGGATATGAGCTCGTGGCCTAGTGGATAAAGGCTTTGGTTTGGCCTAGTGGATCAACGTGGCCTAGTGGATCAACGTGGCCTAGTGGATAAACGGCGGTCCTCTTCTTGCCCTCAAGTTCAATTCATATGAAGAATTTATTTTTTTGCGATTCTTGGAACTATTTCTTTTTTAAAGCAAACTAAATTTAAATAAAATAAAATAAATTTAACATTTTTGTCTATGAGACGCTCTGCGATACAAGCTTTTAACCAGGGAAACGAGAAAATATATTAAAATTACTTGCAATCACCCATAAACAAGTTGAAACAGATCAATTTTAGAAATTTCATCAATTTTCTTAGCATTCTAGTGGTTATGTCGATGCAAACCAAAAAAAACTTTACATTTGGCGGAATTGAACTCAAGGGCAAGAATAAGACCGCCATTTTACAAAACAAAACCTTTAAACAAAGCCTTTAAACAAAGCCTCCACTAGGGCATGAGCTCATCTCTGCCCGAGATGAAAACGCGATGCGATAAAGGACTAATAAAGGAATCAGTTTTGAACCCAGATTTTGCATCCCGGATTCCTCTCGTTTCCCTGACTATTAGCGGCTAATTTTTGCCGCGTTTTATTCGCCATTGCCGATTCTATGTTATGCACAAGACTTGGCGCATTTAATGATACCAAGAACATTGAAATTCGACAGCCCAACACCAAGATATTTGAGCTCAAAGTTAGATTGCCAATGGCAAAGGGGCGGGGCGAGTATAAAAGGCGCTCCGCCCTCTTTGCCATTGGCAATCCAATTCTATGTTATGCACTGTGTTTCCTATCGATTCTAGATGATTTTTAAGATCTTTTTTCAAATTCCCAACCATTTCCCATAAAAACGAACGCCTCTTTTCCTCAAAAAAAAAAACGCGAAAAACCGGCTCTATCGACTTCGTTTTTTCGCCTTCATTCGATTGGTAATTTCTTTTTTTTCACGTTGGCGGCACTTTTTTTTGTCCATTTTTCTTTCCTTTCTTTTCTTTCTTTTCTTTTCTTAATTTTTTTTGGAAATGGAGACGGTTCCGCCTTTTTTTTTAGTCAACCAATAGTCAATAGAGAGTTTTTATGGTAGTTTTATGAGTTCATTTCGTTTATCGATGAATTATAAAGGATTAAATCATTAAAATTATAACTTAGCTAGAGAATTATAAACTAAAAGTACTAAAAGTACTAAAAGTACGGTAAAAAGTACAGTAAAAAGTCTTTAATCCTTATGAAATACCAGTCTGCTTGGGTGTACTTTGTACTGTCGTAAATCCGTAAACGCAGCTTTTCTATTGCGCTGAATTCTTCATTTTTCTTCATTTTCTTGGTTTTCTTGTTGAATTCAGTGCTCTAGAAGGTTTGCGTTTAGATTGCACAAAGTATACAAAAGGAAAAAGGCTACAAGGTACTTTAAAGTAGTACAAAATACTTTAAAATAAAAACTACTGAAAGCACAAAGGATTTCAAAGCAAAAAGTACTTTAAATGATAAAATTCTGTGCTTATTTGTAAACGCAATCTATCTAGAGCACTGAACTCGTCTTTTTTCTATGAAATCAAGGTTTTCTTGTAAGGAAATTGAAGTAATTAGTCATTGACCGTATCCGAACCATATTGGAACCATATTGGAACCATATTGGAACGATATTGGAACCGTATCCGAACCATATTGGAACCGTATCCGAACCGTATCCGAACCATATTGGAACCATATTGGAACCATATTGGAACCATATTGGAACCGTATCCGAACCATATTGGAACCGTATCCGAACCATATTGGAACCATATTGGAACCATATTGGAACCATATTGGAACCGTATCCGAACCATATTGGAACCGTATCCGAACCATATTGGAACCATATTGGAACCATATTGGAACCATATTGGAACCGTATCCGAACCGTATCCGAACCATATTGGAACCATATTGGAACCGTATCCGAACCGTATCCGAACCATATTGGAACCATATTGGAACCATATTGGAACCGTATCCGAACCATATTGGAAAAAAGGGAGGAAAAATATTGGAAAATCCATATTGGAAAAAGGAAGAGTCATTAAAAGGGAGGAAAATAGCAAAATACGCTTTAAAGAAACGGGCGATGAAGTAAAAAAACGTTAAACGGGCATCAAATGCACTGGAAAGTGTTTAAAAGTTGAAATGGTCAAAAATCAGTTGAAATAAGTTCAAATCTAAGTAAAAATCTAAGTCAAAATCTAAGTTCAAATCTAAGTTCAAATCCAGTCAAAATCTAAGCAAAAATTTAAGTAAAAGTCTAAAAACCAATAAATCTGACCTCAACAATCGCTTCCGCATTGATTCCAGTGGATTTAAGCCGTCGAATCAACTCGAGCTGCTCGACGGTGAAGAGGCTCATGCCTAGAAAGATTTAAAAGATGAATGATTCAAAAATTTTATATAAAATCGTTTAAGACATCATCAAATCATCAATTTGTATAAAATTTGTATAAAATCGTTTAAGCTTTAAATAAATATATGTAAATTGAAGTTAAATCTATCAAATCTTCAAATAATTCAAATAATAATACGTTTTTTAAAAGGAAAAATCGCTTAAATAAGGGTTATTGTCGGTTTAGGACCAAGAAAAGCCTTTAAATTGCATTTATTAGTTAGATTTTGAAAAGAAAAAAGAAAAGAAAAAGTAAAACGGTGAAAATGAATTTAAAATCATTGAAAGAAAGACTAAAACGAAGAAAAAAAGCAAGAAAAAGCAAGAGAAAAGCAAGAAAAAGCAAGAGAAAAGCAAGAGAAAAGCAAGTTTTAAACAAATTTTACGAAAATTAAGCTCAAAAATCGATCAAATAGTGAAGATTTTTAGGAAAATATGTATAGATTCATATTTTCTTTGTAAAGGTTTCGATTTTTTTTCTTTTTCTTATTTCTAGTTTCTATGTACACTTTTATAGTTAATCTGATCCCGTAAAAAAAGTTTTTTCTTTGTTTTTCTTGAAATTTTCTCTAGACGGGATTATAGTTCAAGACACAGACAAAAAAGGAGAAAAAAGGAGAAAATCTTAAAGAAAAATGTCAATTTTTAAAAGAAAAACTCAAAATATGAGAAAGAAAGAAAGAAAGATTATTTTATAGTGAAAAAAATAAGTTTTTAAACAAAAAGAAAATTTTGGAAGGCTCAGAGAGGGATCGAACTGGGGAGCATCGAAACGGCCGTCCGACTAGCGGTCTGACGCTCTCCCCGTTGAGCCATCCGATAGCACAGTTGGGAAAGCGTTTGGCTGCGAGTCGGAGGGTCCTAGTTCGGAGGGTCCTAGTTCGGAGGGTCCTAGTTCGGAGGGTCCTAGTTCGGAGGGTCCTAGTTCGGAGGGTCCTAGTTCGGAGGGTCCTAGTTCGGAGGGTCCTAGTTCGGAGGGTCCTAGTTCGGAGGGTCCTAGTTCGGAGGGTCCTAGTTCGGAGGGTCCTAGTTCGGAGGGTCCTAGTTCGGAGGGTCCTAGTTCGGAGGGTCCTAGTTCGGAGGGTCCTAGTTCGGAGGGTCCTAGTTCGGAGGGTCCTAGTTCGGAGGGTCCTAGTTCGGAGGGTCCTAGTTCGGAGGGTCCTAGTTCGGAGGGTCCTAGTTCGGAGGGTCCTAGTTCGGAGGGTCCTAGTTCGGAGGGTCCTAGTTCGGAGGGTCCTAGTTCGGAGGGTCCTAGTTCGGAGGGTCCTAGTTCGGAGGGTCCTAGTTCGGAGGGTCCTAGTTCGGAGGGTCCTAGTTCGGAGGGTCCTAGTTCGGAGGGTCCTAGTTCGGAGGGTCCTAGTTCGGAGGGTCCTAGTTCGGAGGGTCCTAGTTCGGAGGGTCCTAGTTCGGAGGGTCCTAGTTCGGAGGGTCCTAGTTCGGAGGGTCCTAGTTCGGAGGGTCCTAGTTCGGAGGGTCCTAGTTCGGAGGGTCCTAGTTCGGAGGGTCCTAGTTCGGAGGGTCCTAGTTCAGGGGGTCCTAGTTCAGGGGGTCCTAGTTCAGGGGGTCCTAGTTCAGGGGGTCCTAGTTCAGGGGGTCCTAGTTCAGGGGGTCCTAGTTCAGGGGGTCCTAGTTCGGAGGGTCCTAGTTCGGAGGGTCCTAGTTCGGGGGGTCCTAGTTCGGGGGTCCTAGTTCGGGGGTCCTAGTTCGGGGGTCCTAGTTCGGGGGGTCCTAGTTCGGGGGGTCCTAGTTCGGGGGGTCCTAGTTCGGGGGTCCTAGTTCGGGGGTCCTAGTTCAGGGGGTCCTAGTTCGGAGGGTCCTAGTTCAGGGGGTCCTAGTTCGGAGGGTCCTAGTTCAGGGGGTCCTAGTTCAGGGGGTCCTAGTTCGAAACCGAGTCGAGTTTTCTTTCATCTTATTTTTCGGCTTTGTTTTCTTATTTTCAATTCTGATCTTATTCTTATTCTTAGCTTATCTCGGAAAGCTACTAGAAAATCAAAATCTGTGGGTTTTTCGGGAAAATTGTACCTACAAAATGGTTTTCCGTGCGGAGGCGGTGAATTTGAGGAAAATTAGGTAAAAAAGACAGGGTTGTGTTGGTTTTTTTTGTTCTTTTGCTATTACGGTAGGTTGTAATGATATTAAATATAGATTTGAGGAAAAGCAGGTAAAAAAGACAGGGTTATCTTGGTTTTTTTGGTTCTTTTGCTATTACAGTAGGTTTTAATGATATTAAATATAGATATTTCAAGTTTTTTTGGTTTTAAACTTGTTCATTAGCTTTACGATGCGGGTAGAATTAACATTCTACCCGAATGACTGAAAAAAAATTGCCTAAAAAGTGTTCAAGGTGAATTTCTGCTGACAAAAAGGTTTCCCGCTTTTTAGGAAATCGTTTTTTGCTTCTTTTTTGCTTTTTTTGTCAGAAAACGAACAGAATTGATAGATTTTTTGGGAAAAAGATCCCTAGAGACGATAAATACAGTAACCCTAAGAGGGTAATTGATTGAAAGGTTCTTATTTGAAAATAAAATATTAGATAAGGAAATAGATATTAGATAATTGAATAGATAAAAAATAATTATAATATACTGTAGTCTTATGCTGTACTTTGTGCTCGTAAACGCACCTTTCTAGCGCACTGAACTCTTCGTTTCTCTCGCAGCTTTCACGAGGAAAACGAAGAATTCAGTGCGCTAGAAAGGATGCGTTTACGAGTGAGTGCAAAACGAGTGTTTCAAGTCTACTATAAAGAAGAATGTGGCTCGTGGAAACGCTCGCCATCTAGCCTACTGAATCAGTAATCTGTTAAAGAGATCGATATAGTAGGAAAGTGTCTAAACTGTACACATAAGATAGTAGCTAAACCTTAAAATAGTAACTAAACCCTAAAATAGCATCTAAAGTATCAAATAACATCTAAACTATCAAATAAACCAGCTTCTAAACCCTAAAATAGCATCTAAACTATCAAATAATATCTAAACTATCATATAAACTAGCTTCTAAACCCTAAAATAGCATCTAAACTCTCAAATAATATCTAAACTATCAAATACTATCTAAACTATCAAATAAACTAGCTTCTAAGCCCTAAAATAGCATCTAAACTATCAAATAGCATCCAAACTATCAAATAGCATCTAAACCATCAAATAATCTAGCTTCTAAACCCTAAAATAGCATCTAAACCCTAAAATATCAGCTAAGCTATCAAATAATATCTAAACTATCAAATAAACTAGCTTCTAAGCCCTAAAATAGCATCTAAACTATCAAATACTATCTAAACTATAAAATAATATCTAAACTATCAAATAAGATAGGATCTAAACTATAAAAGAGGATTTAAACTATAAAATCATATCTAAACCATAAAATCGTATCTAAACTATCAAATAAGAAATTCAGCTAAAAAAATATGATTCAATTTTTAAGAATTTCTCTAGACAGCGTACAAATTGCACCTCAAAAGAAGTAAAAAAAGAAAAAGAATGGGCGGGGATAATTAAAAAGTGGCTTCTTTAAAAATGAAAAAGGATTAGTTGAATATCATATAAATGAATAGTGAAAGAAGAGAAGGAGTAAAGGGGAAAAGGGACCAGGAAGTTTGAAGTACGGTAGGGTAGTCCGATAGGCCGGTAGTTCAATAGGCCGGTAGTCGGGTAGTCGGGTAGTCGGGTAGTCCGGTAGTCCGGTAGTTCAATAGTCCGGTAGTCGGGTAGTCCGATAGTCCGATAGGCCGGTAGTCCGGTAGTCCGGTAGTTCGGTAGTCCGGTAGTCCGGTAGTTCAATAGGCCGGTAGTCCGGTAGTCAGGTAGTCCGGTAGTCAGGTAGTTCAATAACCCGGTAACCGGTTAGTACGGCAACCCGGTAGTCTTGACTATGAATGTACTATAGAAATAGTGCAGTAAGTTCAGGGAACACTAATCTAGAAAGGGTCCTGATGACCTAAAGTACTGAAGGCCTAAAGTCCTGAAGCTAGTTCTGAGGACCATGGGGACCAGAAGGGTACAGCAAGCCGATGGTATGATAGGCCGGAGAGGATACTTTAAGGATACTGTAAGCTGTCGCATAGTTGGTACAGTACGATTTGATGCTGGGATGCTATAGGCTGTAGGCTGTAGGGCTATATGCTATAGGCTATCGTCACTGTCACTCAATTCTTGGAAGCTAGCCTAATCAGCCTAACCTGGAGAACCTGGAGTATGACCTAATCTGGAAGCTGACCAGAAAATGATCTGGCTTGGTTAGTACTCTAATCTATTAGGCTGTCTATTAGTACAATCTATTAAGCTGTCCAGAAAGTATTTGCCTTAAAGATCGACTAAATACAATAATACAAGAGGTTAAATTCAGCAATTACCTTTAAATTAAGCGGATTTCAAGGTTATCTGACATTTGATTTCAGCCTGCTTTTTGTTTCCTTGACAAACTAACTTTAAACTCAAATATCTTCGCGCTCAGTTAGCCAATTGAAATAATTTTAATATCATTAGATTCGGCAGAAGAAGTTCTGTCGATTGATACAAAAATAATTCAATTGGTGTTCAATTGGTGCATTTGTTGGCTTTAAATAGAAGATTAAACAAATAACAAGTCAATCGATGTTTGTAGGATAAAGAAAAAGAGAAATTGAGAAGAGAAAAAGGGGAAAAAAAAGAGAGATCGGATTAAAGGAAAACCTGAGAACCTATCGTAGTCGATAGGTCAGATCATTGAAGGCATAGTGGAGAAGAAAGGGGAGGGGAGGTCGACCTGAAGACTGAAGAGTGCAAAGCCCAGCCCAACCCTACCCCCAGCCCGCCCAGTCCACCCCCAGCTCCCAATGTATATCGAGGACGACGTCGAGCAGTGGAACGAGAAATATCTAGCGAAATCTAGAGTGAAAAAAGAACTAATAGAGAAGGCAAAGCTTAGAGAAAAACGCTAGCAAAAACGGGGAAAAGAGTTGCACTTTTTCTCTTCATGACAGGCGCGGGGTCGTTTTTTTTTTCAGCGTTTTTCAGCGTTCGTCCGTTCCCTTTTCCCATTGCTCACATAAAAAAAATGGCGAGGTCACAAAGGAAGAAGAGAAAACTGAAAACTAAAGACTTTGAAAAAAAAGGGGAGAAGAGAGAGTCGTTTTTTACGCATAGCTTTGAGAAGAGAGGGGCAGGCTGGCTGAAAAACGACTCTCTTCGCTCTTCTTCAGTCGATGATGACCACATATATGAGAAATATTGAAAGAGAATGGCAAAAGCTTTAATTCAGAGGAAAACGAATATAAACTACGGGTTATTCTTTGAGAAAACTAGAGAGCTGAGTAGGCAGATAATTTTTGAATCAAATTGTTGGTGAATAAATCTTTTCATTCCTTTTCGTTTCTTTTCTTTTCGTTCCTTTTCTTTCCTTTTCTTTTCTTTCCTTTTCTTTCCTTTTCTTTTCTTTTCTTTCCTTTTCTTTCCTTTCCTTTTCTTTCCTTTTCTTTCCTTTTCTTTCCTTTTCTTTCCTTTTCTTTCCTTTTCTTTCCTTTCCGTACTTCTGTTTAAAACTAACAAATTCATCAATTGAACTAATTCATTAGAAACAAATTCATTAGAAAGGCCAATTATTTTTTTGTAAAATAGAACTGTCTTATGTCTGGCTGTTTTTTTAAGAGCGTAAAGTTGGGTGGTCAAAAACGGTGACAGTTTGATGATGCAAAGACACTCTAACTAAGGAAATCTATCTTGGTGTCAATAGATAAAAGATAGAGCACAAAAAGTTAGAAATGTCTTATGTTTGGATAAGATAGATAAGATAAAAGATAGAGCCTAAAATCGGGTAGTCAAAAAGAGCTG